CGGAACATTATTTCGCTATTTATAAAAAAATTAAGTTATAAGGCCTCACATGTGCAGTGACGTCACTATAAGCATACTCAACATACTTCCTCTGACAATAGGTGGCGCCTTGTGAATTTCCACTAGCAAAATAATATTCTAAAATTTTGTAAAACAGTAACGGGTATCTTATGGTCGCGGCACTCGACTATAGCGTTTCCTCTGGTTTTATTTAAAATATACATTCTCATCTAACAAGTATTATTAGCTTTCTAAAATGCATAATTAATAGCTTATCCCATGATTAATTATGAATACAACAAAGAATTAAGAGAGAATACTATCATTAATAATTTCATAGAGTATAAAAACACATCCTACAATATGACAAAGTAACCGAGATAATTATACATTCCTAAGATATTTTCTCTCTGTGCATGCTTCGGCTCGGGGGATGAGTCCTGGATGTGGTCGTTTGGATAGTCAAGGCACGTTTGTCATTGGTAATTTCGAGCATGTCATAATGATAACTCAAACAAACGGGGGAACATATGGGTGGTAGGCGGAGATAGATGCAAAGAGGCAAATGTTTGTTTATAATTTATTTTTAGGCCAAAAGTCCTGACCTCTTCCTGCCGGTTTTCAGACGCCTCAGCTATTAGCCTGAGACCTGTGCAAATATTTAGCCAGCGGCTCACGTAGTTCACTTCATGTAATTGATAAAAAAAAAAAGAAAAGTCTGCCAGCGGCACAATTTCTCGGGCTGTAGTCGGAAAATGAAATTAAATTCCTGGAAAAATGAGCTTTGAAGTGGTTGCGTTCGTCTAACAAATTGTCATACAGCATTCAGCAATATATTTTTTATTAAAAATGTTACATAATCCAGCTTCAGTTCTTAAGGGTAAAGGAGAGAAAGTATAATAAGTTGGCCACAAAAGAGATTTATGATAGGAACTAACTGGCGACGCCTTTTGCTCGCGCATACAATTTCAATATTTCTTCATCAGGCTAACAAAGTGAAGGAGGAAGAAGCGTCTGGGGTTTCTGTTCCTCCAGTGGAAGTAAATTGGAAATGCGATACGCAGCAAAAATGCTCGGGGAGTTGGCTCTTTGCACTAGAGAATAGAAAGTTGCTCATACGCCGCGTGGTCGGCTGGTCTTTAATGTTTCGCTTAGCCATTAAATGCGAGTGGGAAATAAATAGCACTTGCATTCGTGTCATAAAAGCTGACTTTAATTAAAGCCATTCGTTCGAACAACATGCAATTGGGAAGTCGCTCCTACATTTCTCTCATCTGCTATTTAAATTATTTTTTAATAAATTGAAAATCAGTTTTAAAATCAATAAAAATGGTGGAAATTCATGTCATGTATACTGAAAAAAAGCAGTCAGATAAATAAAAATGTATTTCATTTTTATACCGATTGGTTGTTAATTTCAACAGCTGTTGATATAAATAATATTTTTTTAATGTAAACTATTAAAAAAACATAGCTGTTTTTGCAATTAACATTAACAAGAAAACATTAAAGCATTTCCCAGTTGCTTGTTCGGTGTTAAATATGTTTTAACCATTTTAATGCTCTTTTCGTGTATGCTAACTGTTTTATTTGACTGCGGCGTAATAGTGGATCCCAGCAGTTGTATAATATTAATGTTTCGCCATATTCGACCCTCTGAGCTTGCCTTTTGCCTTTTGCCGCCAGACAAATGAGAATCGTTTATGGCTGCCATTTGGTTAACTTTTAGCTCTCGATGACCTTGAGGCCATGCATGAATACGCGTAGTTACAATATGCATACGTTCATATATAAATAAACTGTGTATATTAAAATATTGACTGCGAATAATAAAAGTGAGCCATAAGGCACATATGTGGCTATGTGCATATATATTTTATATCTCTGGGATAGTTAACTGTGTATTGAGTTTGAAATTACGTTTTATTTTTCAAATTTTTGCTTTTCCTTACTTTTAATCTTAGTAGATTTTATTACACCAGTCAGCTGCCTTTTTGTTTTTTGATAAGTTATCAAACATGTGTGAAACTTGGACACATCAAGTGCGTGGGGGTGGCTTTTCCCACACGTTAGCCTCCTTTTCTACCCCTTTCAACTCTCACATTTTGAATGTTTACCAAGCTGATAATATAATTGAATACACGAGCCACATGTGATAATGAGATTTATTTATTTATTCAATTTAATTTGCCAGAGTTCGCTCTTTCTGCTCTCGCGTTCTTTGTTTTTCGCGTTATGTGGGACAAGTAACATAATTCACAGGCAAATGCTAAACAAAATAATATTGTAGAAATATTCTCCAACTATTTGGCCATCTCTCTTTCTTGGCCAGCAACAGGTTATTGATCCAGGCCGGCAATTTGAGAATTTACCAGAATGCAAATAGCATTTCATTTCGTCCTTTTCGCTTGTAACCTCCACTAATCGACGTTGGCTAGTTCATGACGCGCCAACGCCGCCGTCTAATGACAGCTTTTCCCGCCTTAACCCGCCGCTTTTCCAGCTTTTCCGCCCCTCGGATGGCTTACGCCATCTTGCCCCTTGGCTTGTTTGCACTGCCACAAATACCTATGAAAACTGGGCGAATGTAGATACCCGGCGAGGGGCACACAGACACCGATATACGCGTAGATATATATAGTATATGGCTTTGTTATCTGTTATCTGGCCCGCCTTTTGTGCTACTATCAACGGTGTCAGCCAAATGCAGACCAAACCGAATTGAGTTTCGCACAAATGGTGCACTTGGAGAAACTTAATACGAACTATCTATAATAAATAGAACTGATAAAACCTTTAAATATTCATATTTTTTTATAAATTTATAAATATAAATGGGTATTTATACATAAAAGATTAATTTCAGTTAACTCAGGAATTAATTGAGTATTTTTCTCTAGGTGCATAGCGTGCGCCATTAATGAACATCGTTTGCTTATCCAGACTGACCCCCACAATGCCCCATTCTCTTGTCACACTGCCTTTACCTATGCTATTGACATAATGTAAGCAACCGAAGTCTGTCTGTGCGAGAGTACTTTTTGTTTCCCATTTCACTCCCTTGCTCTCGGCTCTCGCTGGCATAAAAATAGTTTTTGTCATTTTTTTGCTTGGTCCTCTATCTCTCCCTTGGCTACCAGTTGCTAGGTGTACAAAGATAGAAATGCAAAAAGGATGGCGATAAATGAAGGGAAGCCACAACGGTGCGTATGGTTGATGGCGAGACAACGTTGCGTATGAGCAATGGGTCATATCAATATATAGGAACCACAAGGAATTTAATAACTAGTGTGTTTGAGTTGAGCTTACAATGGAATATATGGGTAATCCCTTATGATTGGGGTTTGTGGTTATCGGGAAATGAAGAACAATTTTTAGATAACATTTTTTCTGTTTGAATCAAAAACTTTTTCCAGTATATGTTAATATTCAACACTGAACTGCAACTTTGCCCGTCAGCAATTCAAACTCATTGTCTATTCAAATGCGAACAAAAGCAGAAATATACATAGTTTCAGTTGCAAGTTGTGCAATCCTTTCATAGCCTTCACTTCACAGCTGCCAAACGCAGCACGATGATTTTCCATTGTTGCAGAACGGAAATTAAATCATTTCCGCTGTCAACTATCGCTGGCCCCTTGTCATGCAACAGCTGTCAAAGGGAAGGGCGTCGAAGGCCGCCGGAGCGATTGAAACCAAATCGGTGAAGATTTGCTCAAATTCTCTCATGGCAAGTTGCAGTTTCCAAATTCAATACCCAAAAGTGTCAAACTTACATATTGATTGAGGAAGTGGAGGAGATGTGGAAATGGTGGGTGAAAATCGAATGAAGAGCGGATGAAAAGTGAATGAAAAGTGGTGTGCTAGATGGCAGACCATAAGTGGATTGCTTGCCAAAAACAAATACAAATCGAAGGCAATTCAGTGCAATTGAGTCGAATTCGGGGAACGCATTTCCCTAGGATCAACGTTGGTAGAAGGGTATATGAACTATCACAAAGAATCAGATATAAAAATATACATAATTAATTTTATGATTTATTGTTTATAAACTTCTGTTTTTAAGTGTTGCACTTCTTCCCTCGTTTTTTTTTGTTTCACCGAACATCAAACACTTTAAAATTAATTACATTTTTTAGATTAAAATGTTCAGCGGCGAACCACTTCAAACGCTGTACAAATATTTATAGTTTAAAGTACTTTTCCCATAAACAAGGCCTGCATAACACATTTTGCTAACAAATTAAATGGAAATCCAAAGAGCTTTTTCCAATTACTTAATAAATACCTATTCGCAATTAAAATCCGCTTGACCGCAAGCCACAACAATCCTTTCAGAACATTCCCCGTCCATTTATCCTTTTTATACCCACTTTCATCGCATTTTCATGCCATTGTTTGCCGTTGGCTTTTCAGTACTGTTGACGTTTCAGCGATGCCAGGCGCTTTGGTCATGTTTATTTTACTTAACTGACATTTTACTATGGCCTACGTGTGCTGGTGCTGCACCGTCTATATATCCATCCCATCGACACTCGAATTTCCCGCGACATTTTGGAGTCTTTTGTTTGTTAATCAATTGGCGGCTAGTCTATCCAACCCGTTCCCCTTGTCTCGGCCAGTTGACTGTTGGCGACCCCAAAAGCGTTAATTGAATTGGTACCTCACTCTCTCTCTCTAGTTCTCTCATAACACATGGGAAAACGGCAGCGTTAAGCTTTAATAACAGCCAGGATAGATAATTAGATAAACTGTAGTAGTAAGGAAACTGTCGAGTTACTCTGCGAAATAGTTGGGCGAAAAAAAGAGAAACTTTTAGTCTGCAAAGTTTTTTTGGTTGAGCACACGAGTCGTACATAAACATATTTATTCAAAACAAAACTCCAACAGGTCCTTACGAAACTTTTCCTCTTGCTAACTGAATAACAGACAAAGTAAATAAGTTATTATGAAAGTGAAACAGAGTGAACACAGAAACACGAGCGATCGCAACCAAAGTGTGCAAATTAATCGAAAATTCAACAATTTCAATTGGCTGACATCCTGCGGCCTTTTGGCGGCAGTAAAATCAACAAAATTGATTCCACAAACTCAACAACTTCAACAACAACAGCAGCCAAAAAATACAATTTACGTTACGCGGCCGAATTGCTCAAGTTTGACAAAATTCAATTCATTAAAACGGAGGGTTTAACATTCGCATTGCTGGCGGGCCCCATGGGCCAAGCGGCAAGTATGTGTCGATTTCGTGGTTGTCGCTACAAAAATAAGAACAAAAACAGCAAACAACAACAGCAGCAGCAGCAGCAACAACAACAACAGCAACAGCATCAGCAACAACAACAGCAACAACTAACACCAACCCATAGTCCTCAGATACAGCATCATTCTGAGATAATCCCATCTACAACAGGTGAGAACGTTGCAAAGGAGAAAACTTTTGGTCATGTCTCAAATTTGCATAAATATTTTGTCACACAAACTTCAGGGGCAAACACAACAGAGAAACACCAAGAGACCAAAGAACTGAAAGAACAACAGTGCTTATTTCATACCCAGAAGCTTTCCACATTCTACTTTTGTTGGATACCCAACCAACTTCCGTTTTTCCGCCTTTCAGCAGCCAAACCCACCAACATCGATCCGAATGGCAGCAAAAAATTGTTCTCTTTTGCACATTTGCCAACTTTCAATTTGCATTTGGCTGCACTCAAAAGCAACAATGCCATTTACACACTGGTTCATATATGCAGGCGAGTGTGTGCAGATATATGGTATTGTACGAGTATACGGAAATATATGATACTTTACTGGGGCTCTCTACTGGGGTCTTAGGGGCTCTAGCATGATCCATTTTCCGAAGCTGAATTTACTTAGTTAATACAACCAGAAGAAAGTAATCAGTAATAAGAATTCTCTAACAAAGTTAAAAATGTCTTCTTTCGAAAGTAAAGAGACGAAATTATAACTTCCTGACAATGACAGATTACCAAATTGTTACGATAAAGTAAATGTAAACAAAAGCCATTTTTAAAGATTATCTTTTACACTCAAGTCGAGTTACTCCCACTTTTGCCCTAACAATGTAAATCAAACTAATGTCATTCGCAAAGAGTATTAAATTTGTTATCATATCTCAGACAACTTTTGATCCTTGCTTTTTCCTGCTAAAAGTAAAATTCCATTACAAATGTTGTATAAAAATTTGCCATTCGCCCGACTCAGACGTTGGGCGGGGGTAGACGCTGGTTCGTTGAGGGGCCATATGAATGTCTTACATAAAGCTGACGCATCAAACCGCAGCAAAGTGTTGGCGGGAAAATAGGAAGCTGGGAAAATGGGAATTGGGTGGATATGTGGGCTGCTTGGATGTTAGCACAAACACCTCCCACACGACTCTGTCAACTTGTCATTTGACTTCGAGTGCAGGAAATAGCCAAAGAAATTCAGTGGCGGGGGAAGGAAGAGAAGAGAAAAGTGCTTGTGCTCTGCGCCAAATGTTTTGCAGCAGCTTAAGCATGTTGCATGTTGGATGTGTGCAAGGCAAATGCAGCTTAAAAGATTAAATTCCCTCCCCCAAAAAGGGGTGCATAACATGGATGGCATGTGTGAGCCAATTCACTCCGGCCTCTCTCTCTATAAATTCCCTACTGCAACACTAAGTAGCCGGCTTTCAACTTATTGGCAATCTTAAAAGCAAAAGACCAACGAAAAGTATCTAGTACCCAGAAGAAAAAGAGACCTTACAGATGCTTAACATGGAAATTTATGTCTGCACAGGGAACTTCTTGAGGGCACAAATCATGGGGGAAAAGCTGATATTAATACTAAAGTGAATTTTAAATGGCAACGCAAAAGTGCCCGCAGGAAAATTATGATAAAATAAATTCCAATTAAAATTTGACTGCTATAAATTCCAATGTATTTAACAACGAAGAGAATTTCAATCTGGTATGTTATATAAAATTATATATTGCAAAGGATATATTAATATAAACTAATATTAATTCAAGAGAACTTTTGTTAAAAGAAATACATTTGCTGATTTACATTTTCTGAATAAAGACACCCACAAATTTGTTGCCAAGCTAAAAGGCTTATAAAACTTCCCTTTAAAAATTAAAGCAAGCCCAATACAAAGCATTTCCTTATCTTCTCTTCCTGAAAATAGACTACTCTAACGTATTTAGGCAAACAAAATATCCTTGGTTTCCATTGTATGCCAGCTTAGCCTGAAAGTCAAATTGTCAAGCGACAGGAACAAGTCGTTTGTTTATTTCTTTTGTGTGAGTCCTAAAGCAGCACATAAATCATATTTTCTATAGAATAAATAAGCCAGACACAAGCAAGCAACCGAGAAAAAGGGGAAGAAACTAGAGACAAGGATAAAAGGAAGGAGGCAGGAGTCCTTTTTCGCATCCTTGAGACTTTCATCAGTGGGTTACTACTCGTTGTCGTATTTATATCTATTTTTAGCACTTAATCAGGCGCTCAATACTACCATTACCGACGCCAGACACTCCCCAACATGCACACACGAAGTCAATATTTCAAGGAAATTGCCAATATTTCCGGTTAATGTTAACTGAAACACTTTGGGGGGCCTCAACTGTCAATGATATTTATTACGTTACCCATACGCCATGTAAGCCGTATGCGCCATGTGCCACATCCAGCTCTCCACACAGCTCTGCGTGTATGTACATACGTCTGAGTGAATTTCCTTAAAGTCGCTCCTTGACACTTAATTGTTCAAAGAAAGAAAGACAGAGACAGCATCAAATTGATGAGCTGCAAAAGCAATTGAACAAATTTATGTGATTTTCTCTCGCAGCGAAATTGAAAAGAAAGCAGCGGAAAAGCGCCAAAAAAAAAAAAGGAAGCCATGTCAAATGCCAGGGGCGTTGAGAGGGGCGTGGCCACGGTCACGTGCCAAGTGTGTCTTCCCCTAAAGGATATGACCCATTTGCAATGCAAATGCTGAACGAAGCGAGTGAGCGAGGGAGATGGCAGAAAGCTCATAAAACTGTCGACACATGAAGCAGGCAAACTCCACACAATGAAAAAAAGGCTTGAATGTATAAATTATTAAATAAATATTAATACAATTTTTGAATTTTAATAAACTGGTCATTAAAAATAAATTTATTCAAGTGGAACTTAACATTCCCTTTTTCACTGTGTAAAGAAATCATACATCGGGAGGTTGTAAAAAACCAAATTTAAACTCCACACAAAGCGAATTAAGTATTAATTTTTCCATTACTCCATTTTTATTGCAGGCCTGCATCTGCGGAGCATTGAGGAGCCAGCAACGACGCCGCTCCAGTTCCAGCCAGCAGGCAGGATGAACGCGGAGCAGGGGGGCACGGGGTACGGCGGCTACGGTTCCAGCGAGCACTCGCTGCTCATCGCCACACGCCACGCCGGTGTCCCCCTGCCCCTTGCTCAGCAACAGTCACTCCCCGCCCACTATCAGCCGCTGAACCACTCCGGTCCAGCCCCACAATCCTCCTCTTCAGCCACATCCACCACCAACGGATCATCCTCTTCCACTGGCGGACATCCCACGTCAGTGTTGCCACAGCAGCAACACCAGCCGCAGTATCAGTTGCAACAGCAGTACCAGTACCAGTACCAGCATCACTATCATCACCAGGCCAACTCGCCACAGCACCACAGACCCTACGATCCGGAGCATGCGCGGATGGAGGCCTGGTTGGATGAGAATCAGGAATTTGTACAGGATTATTTTATAAGGTAAGTCGATTTTATTAGAATACCATATTAGCGAAAGCCTGTAGAATGCTAGAACAATCTAGAATTCTTAGCTCTTGTGTTAATATCATATCCTTTTACAAGCCCGACCTAGGGGTCAACTATTTCCAATTTCCCCTTCAAACATACCAATTGACCAATCGATAACTCTTCCATTTAGCCAAGACAGACGGAAAACTAACCGAATCCTTGTAGAGACATAAATTGCATCTGCCTACAAGCGTTTTCGATGAACCCATCGAGCCAATAATCTATTTTGCCCATCGAACGGATAAATTCTTAAATTTGAAACTGCATTGTCAGTTTGACCCTGTCGCATGGCATACAATCGCCCCATATTTATGGGCGGGTGTGGCGTTGGTGATGATGAGGATTTGGCCATAGGCGGGGACTGCTCGTTTCCGCTATAAACCGGAAATTGCCTTTGCCACAGCAGGACATCTAGGCCAGCCCGGCAGCAAAGCGGGTTAAGGGACGTCAGTTGTCTATGACACATAATAAAAATCACTAACAACTAAAAGCATAAATTGGGCTTTATTTTCATGGTCGAGCAGAGCAGGCCAACGTCCGCATTTCGTCCTCGGCTCCACAGCTTCTCTTTACTTTTTTTTTTTTGGCCTGCGGGGCGGTCATTAAACGAGGCTGAAAAAGGCTTCATTCTGTTGTGTATGTACTTTGCATAAGAATATGCCGCATGTCCTAAACAGTTCTGCCATTTATGTAGCCCTTTCGGTTTAATGTGCCCTTTCAGAGGGAGTTATACATTGGTTAGAAGGCTTAAATAGAGGAGAATAATTGCAAGTTCGAAAGTACAACAACATTAGCTGCTAGCTGTATATTAACAAAATAGACTTTAGTTATTTTATAAATATTTCTTTATATTTATTTCCTTTCTAAGCACTATTTCCACCATTTCTATCTATTAAACATTCGTTTAAATATGAAAAGAAGGACTTTGGTAGAATATTTAAAACTTCGAATGCTTTTCCCTCTCTGGACTTACTAAAGAGTTGTGTGCTGTGATTGTCCGATGTTGTGAGGGGTTTGGGGAGGGTTTTATGCCGAAAGCGCGAGGTCATAAGGACACATGCCTGATAGGAGGAACAAGGAGTAGGAATCGGAGTAGGGGCAGGAGCAGCTGATGCCGGGTAGTCTCACAGCCTGAATATTTATGAGTTGGCATTTTATTAGACAATTTTATGCGTCACATGCATATAGAACACGAGGTCCAATGCGTCGGTCGACCTACGGCTATTCATTTGCGATTTATAATAAGGTTTTAATGTGTTTTCTAACAGAATTTTTCGTGTTATTATTCACAGGAAAGCCACACGTCAAACGGTGGATGCCTGGCTGGTCTCACATGCCACCTCGGCGGGCAACGATGTGGTTAGCAGTACCTCACCCACCCACGCCAACGGACAGACGAGCTCCTCGAGGGGCGGATCAGGAGCAACCACACCAGTGCGGTAAGTAATTAAATGGATGTTTCTCTAATTAAATATTAAAAGTAATTATCACGGATTAAAGAAAAACAATTACAATAATGGTTGCAAAATGGTTTTTAAAAATATTCTTTAAACTTAAACTGATTTTTTTTTAGAAAAATCTCTGCTCACGAGTTTGAGCGCGGAGGCCTATTGAAGCCGATTGTCAACACCATCGACGGCACGCCCACATTTTTGAGCATTGGTCCGCCTTTGGACAATGGCGGTGTTGGTGGCAGCTGTGGCAATCTGCAGAACGTCGGCGGAGTCGTGGCCGGACAGTATCAGTATCATCATCAGTACAACCATCCGCATCTGCACCATAGCCAGCACAGTCATTATCAAGCAGGCGGAGCCGTTGGCAGCAGCAGTTTGGGCAGTGGCATTGGTGGAGCGGGAGGAGCACCCGGAATGGGTGGCAGTGGTGGAGCCGGAAATAGCCATCAATATCAATATTATCATTGCCACCAGCGACCACAGCGGCTGTCACGCAACGAGCTTAAACAGCTTGATGAAAAAGAGTTGATTTTTGAACTGGTGAGTAAAAAGAATAAAATTAAATAAAAAATATAAAATTTTTTTACAAGAACATACTTTTATGGGTGATCTTACACACCCTTTTATATAAGAAGGGTTGAGTAAGTGAATGAGTATAACCGTGAAATGCATAACCATTAGATATCAAATTGATTGTTAGCGCGAATCTCGATAGTTCGTCAATGACTATTTGTTGAGTTCCGCAAACTTGTTTGTCTGTTGGCCCTATTTGGCTTTGTTGTCGGCCCGTTGACGTTGTTATCGGCAAACACTCTAAAGACGTCAGTCACACTCTGTATTTCCCCACAGCTCTTGCTCTCTCAGTTGCAATTGCTTATTTAAGCTTATCGGTCGTGTAAATAATCGAACTCTATTCATCAACGCTTCCAGGTAAAGGATATATGCAACGAGCTCGAAGTGCGCACTTTGTGCCACAAGATACTCCAGAATGTGTCCATATTGCTAAATGCCGATCGAGGATCTCTGTTCCTGGTGCAAGGACGTTGTAATGGACCCGATGGACTCAAAAAGTAAGTGAATTTGAAGCATTCAAAAATATTCTTAACATTTTTGTGAAATTCTTTGAAAAGTTCTCCCCATTTCGTGATGTTCGGTTTAAGAAGTATCTAAATAATGCTAAGTGATGGTCAATTTGTGGCATGGAATTTTACTTGTCTTGTGATGATTGACCATTCTATTTGCCAATGATGTTTACTAAATATGGTGAAATACAATGTGTGTTTCCGTCTATATATTTCTCAAATAGACAAAAAGTATAAGCTGGTTAAATTTTTCTATATTTCTACTTTCGAAATTAACCTCTTTAAGAACTTAAAGCTTCTATTCCCTGAATCACTTTATTCAGTTTATAAATAGAACCGCAATAAAGACACACATCTATCATAAATCAGTCGCATTCTATTAGCACAGAAGTGGACTGAGACCATTGCATATAGAGCAATCAGCCAAGTTCCAGCACTCCTCCTCATGCACTATTTTCAACAATTTGTTGATGACTTCATATGACTGCATTTTTGTGGACACTGTGGATAGTGCACCCCAGCAGTAGAAGCTATAGCAGAATCAGCTCAGCGTCAACTTTGTCTTGGCAACATTTTTATGGCATTTATTTTTGGCATTTTATGAGTGCATTGCGTGGATGCTGGGACTCCTTCTGCCCCCGAAACTCGTTCCATAAATGCCATAACCCCGGCAGGAACCTGAATGGGGTTCAGTGGGGCATGTCAGCCATTTTGTATGCATCGTATGACGCCATTTTGCTGCCAACACTAATTGCAATTGTCTGCACGCGCATTTGGCAAATGCATACTGTTGGGTAAAAAGTTTTTAAAGCCAAAGAAAAGGAACAGGAAAGCTGGCAAAGTAGACGAGAGTCACTGAGAAATACAAGATTTTTACTAAGAATCAATAGCTATCAAATTATTATGGCTTCTTGAACAAATTCAGAAAGGAATAATACTGAAAAGATTGATATAGTCAAAGTCATCACCCTTATCATCTATCACCCTTAACCGTATAATATCTCTTTTTCTCCCAGTGGAGATGAAAAAAAGTTTGCATTGTGTCCGATGACAATAGGCGATAGTTGCCGCCTGCAACACAATTTATAATTTTCAACTTTGGATTCTGTTTCTCTTCCTGCAGATGCCTCGTCTCCAAGCTATTCGATGTATGCCCCCGTAGCACCGTGGAGGAAATGGAACAGCAGGACGAGGTGCGAGTGGCCTGGGGAACAGGAATTGCAGGGCATGTGGCCGAAAGTGGAGAGCCCGTCAACATACCAGATGCTTACCAGGTCAGTACCAAGGGCCAGAGTACCCAAAAAACAAGTACTATCTTAAGTCAAATTTGACAAATTTGAATGCCAACTGGGTCATAAATCAACCTCAGCTGTGAGAGTCGGAGATTATTCATTCGATTGTAAGATTTATGGTGGCAGATACCAAAGCGATGTGTGTGTATGTCTCTGCTGTATGGTGGTCTTTAAGTTTTCAATATTGCTCAGTGAACTCGGTGATGGCAAACCAGCACTTTTCACATTTCCCAGCTTCCGGCCTGCCCACTACCACACCCAACATTTTCCTATTTTTTCGGCAGTTTTTCTTCGGCCTGTCTGCCAATTGGAGCGTAATTAATCTTATGCCAAGACAAAGCCATGTTAGGCATGTTATATCACCAAGATATGGAGTCCCATTGGCTTTAGACTTCTGGTGCTTTAAGCTGGTCGGCAAACGATAACAATTGCGGCTCCTTTAAAAATGTTTTCCCAAGTCATACTAAGCCAATGAGTGTAGATAAACTCCCCGTAAATACGTGACGCACAGACAGATCGCTTGTACTGGCGTAGATCTCCTGATTGTTAGCACAATTAATCAAGGCCTAAATTTGACACTTGCCGGTACCAGACAGCGCGACCAGCAGACAGCAGAGAATCGAGCCCAAATACACACGACCGTTTTTCTGGTTGCGAATGAGTCGCATTATGGTTAGACACACCAGTTACGCTCGAGTGCAGATCTTTTGGTCGATCTCAGTGGACTTTTGACTCGGCTAAGTAGCTGGCCAAACAAATGTCAGCCGGCAGCGACAATCAGAGGCGTCTGGAAACTGATAACCTCCCAAATTTTTTGTTTAGAGGGGAGAAAGGCAGATAGATCATGGGGAATGTGTGCCAAGTGTACTAAAATAGACTGGCCGAAAGGAAGAAGAATGATAGAGAAGATGTTTTTGGTTGAAGATTATTATCAGTTATATCTTTGAGAGAGAAGGTAGATAAATATTGTTCATAAATCTGACACAATTCAAGTGAATGAAATTAAGAAAATATTAAATATAATTAATAAAATAATTAAAATGAAATCTCCCAAATGTATATACAAGGCTTACCAAACACAAAGACCAAGTTAACAACGAAAACTCATTAAAATGAGATACTAATTCGTGCACAAATTAATTTCATTTCCCCCGATTTCCCCGACAGGATGAGCGATTCAATTGTGAAATTGACTCGTTGACCGGCTATCGGACGAAGGCCTTGCTCTGCATGCCCATCAAGGATTCATCCGGGGATGTGATTGGCGTGGCGCAGGTCATCAACAAAATGAATGGCGAGTGCTTCTCCGAAATCGATGAAAAGGTGAGTGGTCTGAATGGGGATTGAAGGGATTCGGGGTGAATGCGGATACGGGCGTAATGGGGCCATGTGGAGATCGCATGACGGGGCAGTCCGATGGTTTCTTTTGTTCCGAATAAAGCCACATAAGAGCTGCACCCATCCACCCTGGCAAATTGCATTCATTATTCAACAAAGGGGAAACTTGTTAAGAAAGCTTAGCAGAATGTCAGGCAAAATGCCATAAGGGATTATCCGATGTGTGCCAGCCAGTTGCGATTCTCTCTCATAATTTTTATGGTGCTTTGCAACCTCTATTTTTTGTCTTTTCTGTTTGAGTAATGTTAATCCTTTGCGATAATCCCTTGCAGGTCTTTGCCTCGTATCTGCAGTTCTGTGGCATTGGCCTGCGCAATGCACAGCTGTATGAGAAATCTCAATTGGAAATCAAGCGGAATCAAGTGCTTTTGGATCTGGCTCGCATGATCTTCGAGGAGCAGAGCACCATCGAGCACATGGTCTTCCGCATCCTTACCCATATGCAGAGTCTCATCCAGTGCCAGAGGGTTCAGATCCTTTTGGTCCATGAGGCTGATAAGGGCAGCTTTTCGCGAGTCTTTGACTTCGAAGCGAATGACCTAAGTGAGGAGGAAGCCACCTCACGTACCAGTCCGTATGAGTCCCGGTTTCCCATCAACATTGGGATTACTGGGCATGTGGCAACCACTGGGGAAACCGTTAATGTACCCAATGCCTACGAAGACGACCGATTCGATGCCAGTGTGGATGAGAACTCCTGCTTCAAGCATCGTTCTATTCTCTGCATGGCCATCAAGAATTCGCTGGGGCAGATCATCGGAGTTATCCAGCTGATTAACAAGTTCAATGAGTTGGTAAGTACTTTAAATTTAAAATATTTTATGATTTGAATGTAATTTATTAAGGTTACCTTAACTACGTAATACTCTTCTTAAACATTTAGTAAAACTTCACAAAAATTCCCTTAATAGTACTTAATCACGACCTGCATATTTTAAACTTTTCCTTATCTACTCCCTTAGGACTTCACCAAGAACGACGAGAACTTCGTGGAGGCGTTCGCCATCTTCTGCGGCATGGGCATCCACAACACGCACATGTACGAGAAGGCCATCGTGGCAATGGCCAAGCAGAGTGTCACCCTGGAGGTGCTCAGTTACCATGCATCTGCCACCATGGACGAGGCTCATCGGTTGCGGGTGAGTACCGTTCCGTTTCGTTTCCGCTATCTCTCTCTCTCGCTAAATTCCGTATTCTTGGATTCCGTTCCGGATTAAATTGCCCTCCCGGGTGCCATTGTTCGGAGGCCAGTGAAATGCTTAATTTTATTTGCACTCACTTAATTTGTACGAGGCCAAGAGGTCGTCCGCTAGTTTGCTCTCTTAATTTTAACGCAGAGCCATAAATTAATGTGTCCTGCCGGAGACTCACTTTGGGTGGTGCCTTCCTGTTGCATTGTCTTCTGTGTTAGCTTCACGGTTTTTATTCGTTTATTATTTCTGTGTGACAGGAACAGCAGCAACAAGCTGTCGCTCTCTGTTGTATGCCACCCCTGTATACTGCTTGCCCCTGCCCCTTTGGAAAAAGCTTCAGCGTGTTGACAGTTGTAATTAGTTTGTTCGCACAAGTATGACAAAAAGAAACTTTTCTACTGAATCGTGGGTCTCTACGCTCGCTCTTCATAGCCGGACACTCTCTGTAATTATGCTGAGAAAATTATGACCGCCTGTCGAGTTGCCAGCCAGACAAAGATGCTGGGTTATTAATTTTAATTAAAATTATGCCATACTAGGCTTTATTCTTACAACGAACGAAGCCGTACAGACGATTATGGCATCAAGCTGGAAAACCCTTTTTTCCGGTCCACAGCTGCAACGCCCGCCGGGGGTTTTTCCTGCGGCACTCTTGTGGGTGCCTTGGCGGAAAAATGCCAGAAATTTTGATAAACTTCTCAGCTTTGGTGGCTAATATAGCACCATTTACATTTGCTGACAGCAAACAGATGAAGGTCCAGTGGAAGAATTTCGTTTTTTATTTCACTTCTTGGGGATATCTTGGGTTTTAAGCACGTGCTGGTTGATTTTGAGGTGAGGAAAATGAGTGGCTTTTGGCGAAAGTTTTTTTTTGTAACTGTTGAGGACAGAAAGCTGTATAAGTAGACACTTTTACCGATGAGTTATAACGATGAACAGATTAAGCTTTATATTAATTTATTTTCCTTTTGTTTTCAGCGCCTTCGGGTTCCTTCAGCTGTACATTTTCGACTACATGACTTCAAATTTGACGACATACACTTTGAAGATGACGATACATTGAAGGTAAGCATGGAAATAATAAAAAAAATATTAGACATATTTCTAATATAATTATTTTTGTAGGCCTGCCTTCGCATGTTTTTGGATCTCGATTTTGTGGAACGCTTTCATATCGACTATGAAGTCCTCTGCCGTTGGCTCTTGAGCGTCAAGAAGAACTATCGAAATGTTACCTATCACAATTGGCGGCATGCCTTCAATGTGGCCCAAATGATGTTTGCCATTCTAACTGTAAGAAATAATTAAAAACTATTCTATACTTAAAGAATTTATTGAAAAATATTATTAAAGACCACGCAATGGTGGAAGATCTTTGGAGAAATCGAATGCTTGGCTCTTATTATTGGCTGCCTGTGCCATGATCTCGATCATCGAGGAACTAACAACTCCTTCCAGATTAAGTGAGTATATAAAATGGAAAAACTTATTTAAATTAACTAAAAAATATTAATTTTTAGAGCCTCGTCGCCCTTGGCGCAGCTGTACTCAACCTCCACCATGGAACATCATCACTTTGATCAGTGCCTGATGATCTTGAATAGTCCTGGAAACCAAATCCTGGCTAATCTGTCCTCCGATGACTACTGTCGGGTTATAAGAGTGTTGGAAGATGCTATTTTATCCACTGATTTGGCAGTGTATTTCAAGTGAGTTTTACTTGAGAAACTTATTATATAAGTTGCTTTATAATTTATTCATTTACTGTACAGGAAGCGAGGTCCTTTCTTGGAGAGTGTGGAGCAGCCTGTGAGCCATTGGGTGGCCGAGGAGCCGCGCGCTCTTTTGCGTGCCATGAGCATGACTGTCTGTGATTTGTCGGCCATCACGAAGCCGTGGGAGATTGAGAAGCGTGTGGCCGATTTGGTTAGCTCGGAGTTCTTCGAGCAGGGTGACATGGAGAAGCAGGAGCTCAACATAACTCCAATTGTGAGTTTTGAGAATATCGATACAAATTATCAACCTAATGGCTTATTATTCTGAATAGGATATCATGAATCGAGAGAAGGAGGATGAGTTGCCCATGATGCAAGTTAATTTTATTGACTCCATTTGCTTGCCCATCTATGAGGTTTGTATTGGTTTCATTGGTTTTTTATATTTATATTTATAAAATTATTTGTAAATATTATTCAGGCCTTTGCCACCCTGTCCGACAAGTTGGAGCCTCTTGTCGAGGGCGTGCGCGATAATCGCGGCCATTGGATCGATCTGGCCGATGTTGTGAAAACCAAAACTAGTCAGGATCAGGAGCCAGAGGTGCAGCAGCAGAAAAATGTGATATCGAACGGTGACTGCAAGCCGATGAGTGATGATGATGTGGCAGCACCGGAAGCGGACTCCCAGAGCGAGCAAGCAAGCGTAAATGGCCCCAACGTTGCCAACAACAGCAGCACCACTAATAAGAACATTGCCGTCGCTTCTAATCCCACCAGCACCCAGCCCAGTGATGATGATGATGCGGATGCGAATGCGAATGCGATAAACAGGTCGCCGAGGAAAATGGTCACGACGCAGAAGTAGAAGAGGTCTCCTGTCGCTCGAACAGCACCTGCAGCTCATCGACCGCCTCCAGTCGGTTGTCTACGCCACCACCCACCGGCGAGGATGACAGCACACCAGTATCGCCCTCGAAAACCCTGCAGGCCAAACTGGTGGCAGCCAATTTAAATGCATTGCAAAGGCAGTCATCCAATCAGGTTCAAGCCCAGAAGCAGCGTTGCAAGAGCTGCGACCATTCCCGCAGCGGGCTGCAGGTTCGCAAGACGAGCTCCCTGCGTGGAGCTCAGGAACTGGAACTGGATAGTAAGGCAAAGAATGGAACACACGCTGCTCTCTGCAAAAGCACGCCCGTGATCAACAACCATAGCCATCATCATAGTCATAGTCACAGCCACAACCACAACCACCATCATCATCATCACTCGCATCACAATCACGGCCAGCATGGGATCGGGATTGGCAGTGCCAGCATTGGCGGTAGTGGGTTAATCAGTCTGGCCACACCGCTGCTGGCGACGGACAGTGATAGGATACCAAAAATCGTGGGCAAAATTGGAAATCTCGATGGTCTGCCCTTTGCCAATGGCATTGGAGTCCCACAAAATGGTCATGGGTTGCCCTTCGGCAGTTACCAGCATCATCATCATCACCATCATCATCATCTCCTGGCGCGTCGTCATTCGGAGACAAACAGTAATGGGGCCACCGCTGTGGCGGCCGAAAAATAAATACATCCCAATCTGGTGTGTTCCTAGAAACTCTGAAACAGATAAAGGACTTAATATTGAAACCCTGAAAATTCATAAACCATCTTTGTGAAGCAAGGCACTTGTTTTGGTTTTTGCTCTTCAAAAAGTGTTTCTGGACCACATTAGCATATCTTCAATATGTACATAGTTTTATCCACATCATCTACTCTATATCGCAACACACAACCACACCCACTCTCATCTTGTATATAACATCCACTTTGAGCAACAGTATCGCAGTGCAGTAGGAAGGGATAATAAGGAATAAAAAATAAAAAACACACACATACCATAAGCAAATTGTGGCACAGCAATTTGATAGCCTACAAACTAAAACTAAATAGAAAGATTCCTATAAACGTATGTAAATCGTATATGTATACTTATGTATGTGTATATTTTGATCTGTGTGTGTTTGTAACTTAAATTTTAGTTCGTATCGTCAGCGTTAGTTAATGATAATGCAAAGAAGTCAAATTCTCTAGATGTTTAAGCACCAACCAAGAAAATGAAACAAAATATGAATTGTACCAAAAAATGGCAGAGTAGTGGATTCTCCTAATTGTCGTTTGCTTGCAAGTAACGCTCATCTTCTATGAAACACAGCAAGGATAAAAGTATTGTAATGTCCCCAAAACACATACATATACGAGTTAGTACGATAACACTGTATAACTGTAAAACGTTAGTTGAATTATCTCTATGGGTACCAAAAGTCTAACTTTAGTAGCATTAACCAACCGCTTAGTGATGATGTTAGCTGTCGAGTAACGAGAAAAACCGAACCGATCGCGAACCTAGATTAGAAATAGTAACCGCTCTTAATACACCAGAAACCGGAAAACCAACACTAAGCGCTTTGATTTACCCCATCTCTGCGCTCTTTTCGAATTTAAATAATTGTAATATTATGCGATAATAAGAAATGTATTTGTATCCAAATATGTACTCGATGGCCTCAATGGGCTGGCCTAATATGCAAAACCCAGACCATCTTGGAAGCATACATCCTTGGGACATCAGCACGTCTAACGTTCTGTATTTGTCACTGGGAACTAATGCTCGTACATATTCTGCAGATGCGTCTATATAAATTCATATAATCCTTCTTTAGATTAAATTGTACTTTGTGAGTTTTGTTATTTATTGTCGGCATTATAGAGAAACCTATCGAAAATACACAAAATATTTGCTGTAACGGACCATGTTCAATAAGCAAAACTAAATAAAGCAACATAATATCTAAAAATTGTGTTCTCATTTTTACATTTAAGACTTTAATAATAACTCAAAACCAGTATTTTAGCCATAGCATTGTTAAAAATGTACGGAATGTGGAATGTTATATCTCGTTGAGTTTGTAATTCAAATCCCAAAAAGACTGCATTCACAGTTTGAAATATAAAATTTTAGTCATTTTTCTCAAAAATAGATGATGTGACTGACCCCTTTCAAAAAATCCAAAATTTGGCCAAGCAAAAACAGTCCGAATGACCGAAATGACCAACGCCTTGAACCCTTTTAGATTATAGATCAAACTAGTATAAATTTTTTCACTCACAATAAGTGTTTATTATAATTTGTTAATAGTTATGGTTTAATTTTAATTAGGATATAACTAGGACACTTCGAATAGCAAGTGTCTGATGATGGGGCCGAGTGTTTTGTATCTTTCGACGTACAGAACAGGCGAGTATATATAGATCTCGCTAATGCATTGGACAAGTCTTTAGGTAAGCAAACAACAAAGAATCTTATGTACAAACGCACAAGTTATGTACAAAATGTCATTGTTTATCGCTTTCGCTTACTCCTAGTTGCATCGCCATCCTCAATTCTTAGAGGGAAGCAATGAAGGGCGTAAGGTCAGGGAACTTGAAGAGGTTCTGGTTGCGGGATCGGGTCACACGTGGCTGAGCTTGACCCTGTCGCTGTTGTGGATTGAAGCCACTGGCCTGCTGACCAGTCAGATAAATACCGCACTGCGAGTTACAAACCTCGTCGCGCAGAATAGCCTCTTTGGGCCACTGGCGGATCAGTTGACCGCAATCGGTGATGCGCAGAGAGGCACACTGAGCCTAATTTAAGATACAAAAATTAGTAAATGCTTAAATTAAGATATAATTTAATACCTTACCCCCTCTGCAGAACAGACGCAACTGGTGCAAGGCGATGGGAAGGCGGACTCGCCAACACGGACATTTCGGTTGCCAATCTGACAGCCCTGGACATTTTCGCGCCAGGCGTTCAAGTCAATCTGGGGCATTGATGCACAAGGCACACGTGGGTTTCTATAAAATATAATTATGAATTTAATAAGATAAATAAATTGTAAGCTTATAAGATCATAAATTTAAAATGAAAATGTAAATATACTCACAGGAAGTTGCTGGGCAAATCGAAGGCAGCGCGCTGCATGTCTCCGGTGATCTCCAGGTTCTCGCACACGATCTTGGCCAGCGTCACCTTACGGATCTCAGCCAGCTGAGCTTCCGTGAACTTGACCTCCGGATTCTGGTTCTCGTACCAGAAACGATCGCATTTGCGCAGCTGCCTGAACTGGATGCCAATGATGCAGGCCAAAGTGGGTCCAACCAGACCACCCTGAAGAGGACGCTCAGTCATGGCACCAGGGAAGAGATCAATGTCATCAACGCTGGCATAGACCTTCTGGAAACGGTTGATCACCTCAGTGGGAATCTCGCGGCTCAAGTCGTTCCAGTTGGTGGCACGTTTTAAGTTGCAAAGGGCACGGTAGTTGTTGTACGAGGGGATTCCATGATCACGAGCTGGAAAAAGCAATATTATATTAATATTTTATAAGAAACTCGATTAATAAAGTAAACTTACCTCGCTGAATATTCAGAGCGATCAAATCGATTCCGGAGAAGGGAATCTTACGGTCCTCGAACAAATGATTGGTGACCTCACCGGTGATGAACTGATCCAGGGTCTCCATTGGTGTAGCCACCAGACCACGTAGAATTTCGTCAATAATTCCAGGCTGCAGGAGATTATCCATACGGAAGAAACCATCACGCAGAAGTAGTGGAGGCTCCACAGGCTGATGCTGGACACTCAAGCGAGGAATATGGGGACGCAGCAGGGAATGACCGATTCGGAAGGCAGCAGCCGCAAATTCGTTAAAGACAATCGGAGAGCAGGATGGGTTGTAGTCCTTGTAGTATCCCTGGGGCAGGAGCTTCAGGCCATACAGATTGACGGCATTCCAGCTGAGAATGCGGGGCAGGAACTCATTGAACACGGTATGTTGCACTTGGGCACTGACAATTTTACGGGCATGATGGAAGAGCTGCTCTCCGTTCCAGTGGGGGTTTACTCCACGCAGGCCCTCAACAATCCGGTTATGTTCACGCAAGAAGGCGGTGTGGATAGCAGTAAGACCTGGCTGCTCGGAAGCACGGTCATCGCCTCCAAGGAAGCATAGACCGTTGCGAGATTTGCACTCAGGATGAGGTCCCAAAGGTAGAAGTTCCTTGCCTCTTAATTGAGTGCTGTTCATGCGCCCAGAGAATCCTCTCAGCTTTGCTCGATAGACAGATGGTCTCTCCATAAACCATGGAGCCATCTAAGAAGTGAGTGTTCTGGTTGATTTGGTCACGAGGTCCCAGCGATTGCTGTCCAGGCAGAGATCTCATCGAGGGGAAACAGAAGCGCTCACCACTGGTAACATTCACCTCGGGATAGTAGAAATCGCCAGCGGGCACTGGGAATGGATTACATTCAGGATGCACTGTCTGGCGGGAGTTGCAAGGTCGGCAACTGGGGATGGACTCGTGGAATCCCTTATGGATTGGGGTCAAAGTCAAATCGTGATCGACAAACTGGGCGAACTGCATCACCATCAAAGAGTAGCGAGTGTGCAGGTTGGAAATATCAGGATGGATTGTGGTAGAAATAGTTCTGGGATTGGGCAATGGGGTTCCTGACACTCCAGTAATTCTGGGTGCCGAGATACCATCCTCATACTGAGCGGGCAGCAGGCGGGAGAAAGTGGTCAGTGACTTGCCCCAGTTGGGGTTACGCAGATTGTTGCACCTTCCGGACATTGTTCGGAATGGTGAGTTCGCATCGCATTGTTGGTTGGGTTCCGGGCACTCATCCAGCGCCTTCTGGGCACCACCAAGCAGTCCACTAATGTCCACCGTTTGCAGGGTATCGGTCAGCTCATTACGATTAAAAGCATTCTGGTTGGGGTTGAAGATCTGACGCTTGCGTCGGGTAATATGGTTGAGGGTCTTCACAATTTCATTGGAGGTCAGCTCGAAGATCAACGAAGAGTTAGCCAGGTTAAGGGCCGCCAGGTTAGCTTTGCTGAAGGAGGCAGCCGTACCATCGGGGGAGCGGGCACTGATACCACCCTCTGAAACAGATAAGGGGTTTTGTTAGTTAGGATTATAAAATTATAGAAACCCCTTTCAAAACTTACTTGTACGCCACACTTCGTATTCGAATCGCTTGCGTTCTTCCAATTCCTGCTTGGCACGTTCAACGGCAGCCTCAATAAGTTCGGGACTCAGCTCAGCAATGGCTTCCTTGGTCGCTGGCTCAACTTCCACGTGCTCCACATGCACTTCGTCCTCAGGGTTTACTTGCCAAGGCTTAAGATCAAACTTGGGTAGCTGGTCGCAGTCCAATATCGAGTTCCTTTAAAATAATTAATTTTATAAAAAAGCTCTTTCTAAAAATATAGTCATAGTTTACTCACAGGTAGTTGTCTTCTAGAATGAAGGCCTTGGACTGGGCTGTGCTTACTTGATGGGATCCGCACAGTAAACCAGATAGAGATGTCTGGCGAATGCTCTTCAGCTGGTCCAGGGTGAAGGAAGATGGAGGGATTTCGTTCTCGTACCAGAAACGATCGGTCTGCTTCAGTTGCTCGAACTGGAGGGTGAGCAGGCAGCTAATTGTGGGTCCAAAGAGAGCTCCAACCGCAGGCTCTTCTAGCAGGGCGCCCACCAACAAATCGACATCCTCAGCGTTTCTAAAAGAGAATAAAAAACGGAATATAAATATAATGTTCATTTTATGGACAAACATTGATTTAATATATATTTGGGTTTATTACGAATATAAAAGAAAACTGATACCCATTTGGAATTTATTTTAAAGCTACATTAAAATTGTTGGAGCTAAGTATACCAAAAAATCCGAATCAAACCGGTATTTAAAAGACTTATCTCAAAATGTGGTTTAATCAATTAAAAGTGCCATAAAAACTTACTGGTAAATGTCACGCAGATTGGTGATGTACTCCTCGGGAATGTTGGACACCTGGCCCAAAGTATCGAAGCTCACATTGGCAGCACCTTGATCGGCAAATCGACGCTCGCAGAGATCGAGGGCATGGACGTAAGAAGCCACTCCATGGTCACGTCCACGATGAACGGCCAAAGCCAACTCGGACCAACCTTCGGCATTCGTTTGACTGGGAACCAGGGACTTTTGCAGAGCAGCAATGGACAATAACTCATGGGCGGACATCTTCTTGGACAGCATCTCTGGGGGATACATACTCCAGAAGGCGGGCATGGCTGCGGTGGCGAACTCATTGTAGATTCCTCCCCTCACAGAGCTGGAGTAGTTGCTCGAGTGCTTCTCGGCAGTCAGTCGGAGACCTTCCTTAGCAGTCGTCTCCTGTCCCAGAACCAAAGGCAAGAACTCATTGTAGGTGATGTGCTGAATGGTGGCCGTAATGATGCGTCTGGCCTCCAGGAAAACATCCTCCTCGGACCAATCGGGATTGATATGCGACAATTGTTCGCCAATGTTGTTGTGCTGCTGCAAAAGAGCACGATGTAGAGCTCCCGTGGCTCCGGCCACCTGGCAGAACTTGCAGGACTCCACCTTGACTCCACCACTGATATAGGTGCGCAGCTGGTCGAATTCATGGCGAGTAGATCCATAAAGTCCAGACCCATCAATGTAGGCCGATGCAATGTTCATCTGCTGGCGAGTGTCTGTAAAGAGAAATTTATATTACTGATTCTATTCCGTTGACTTCAAGTTTTATGGGCTTACGTTTCTGGCACGCCTCTGCATCGAAACCTGGAGCCGATCGCTTGTACTCTTTGCAATCGGGTCCCGCTCGAACGAAGCACTGCTGGAGCTCGCTGGGATCCTTGACGGCGGAATCACGTTCGCAGCACTTTCCGGAGATGGGCAGCTGTCCGACCTCGACCAGGTCATTGGCCAGCAATTGACCCCAAGCAGGAAGCATGGCAGTTATATGGGCATGACGCAGTTCACCCTCCACATGGCGTTGCAGATGTTCGATTACCAGTTCGGCATCGGGTAGAGCATGAGTTCCCTTGGATGTCCTTGGCTGGCTAACACCATCGGCATAATCAGCCACCAGCAAACGCTGGAAGATATCTCCACGAGCTCCCCACTTGCGATGGGAAACATTGTTGCACTCAGCAGTGGGCTGGCGGTACTTGCTCGGCGGGCAAACATCATAATCACCGGCAACAGTGCCCTCTCCTTCTTCGGAGGATCCACACTGGGTCAGGGAACGGGCACGTTCGGAGCTCAGGGCATTAATGGCTGCATTCTCAAGGTCCTCGGGGATACGGAGTGTCAGACTGGGAGCACAAAGGCACCTAAAAATATGGAAAAAGGATTTCAAAATTAGTTATAAACATTTAAAATATTAAACACAAATGCTTTCACAATAATCGTAACCTAATCATAAAATATATATTGACCTTTAGAAACAAGCATTTTAAACTTCAACAACCAATCCAAGACTTAATGTCTTTATCAAACGCCTGTGATAATTAATTTAAAATGTCAAACTTAATTTCAAGTGTTTGGGTATTCGTAAACACAAAACTAGTTTTCATTAATAAAGAAACAAAATGAAAATAATGGCAGTTATATTCTATTCATTCATTATAAGGAAATCGAACAAACATCTTTTGATTAGAATACAATAAAACCTCTCGTTAAAAGTAGACCTTAGATGGTTGCTGAATCATCAAAACAACTATTAAGTTGGGTATTTTCTTTCTTGATATGATTTTCCCAACACAATTGCTTATTCATTTAATGATTGCTATCTTGTTGGCTTTACCCAAAATATTTAAATCTTTTACCGAGGGTTTTCCTCCTATTTTCCTGTTATCAGAACTCAGTGGTTTAACCCGAAAACTTCAACCACGTGTTTTTAATTTGTTGCTCGGAATCGTCTCCGTTTCATTCATTCATGAGCTTCGTATGCATTTTCCGGCATTTAATTACAAGTTTTCTCACATCGCCGTCGTTTGCTCACACTGTTAATTAAACGAGGCACAGACAACGAAAATTGAAACTGAAAACTATGCATATAAAAATAATGTATATAATGGAGGAGTAGAGGCGTAGGTCTGCGATTTTCTGCCTAACCGGATATGAGAAACGTCTGTCGAACTAATCAATTTCGAATTATGAACAATGACGCCGAATGCCCCCAAAAGGCTTTGACTGGCTGACTGACTGACTGAATGACTGATTGACTCACTATCTGACTGACTGACTGAATGGCTTATTATGCCGCACTTTGTTGGCCTGTCATTATGTTATTCTATTGATTTCGGCCAGCCGCCTCGGCTCACGTGACGGAGTTTCTTTTGTGGTTGCATTGACATTAATTTCCGAATTGAAGTCTTTTGTCAACAGCAACAATATGCAATTTATTTGCGCTTGCCGTCAAGATCCAAGATTATGCAACACTCTGCAATCTGCTGGATGTGGCTGTGGATGTGGATGTGGGCGTAGAAGATCCGCTTTTAGAACCCGCCTAATGAGCTCATTTCAATGTTTGGGTAAACGTCCTCACCTTCCCCTACATAAATTTTGGCCAACTCCATCGATACAAAATTATATTCAAACAGAGTTAACTTTCTGGTTTCAGTTTAATTGGTTTTGTTTATATATTTTTTGTTGGCTTATTTTATTGAGTTATACACACGTATATTTTGTTTAGCACTCATTTAAAAGTTGAACGTAATTTGTGGTATTTCGTTCGAGTTGCTTAGACGAATGCTCAAGGCTTTTGTATTTTTGGTAACTTTTAAGTGACCGCTTGATGGTGTCTATCTAAAAGATTTCAGTCAAATTTTAATGATTTAAGATATGTTTGGGCTATGAACTTGTCGGGAGTTCAAGAGCCACATAAATCTGTTTTGTTTTTGAAATAAACCGTAGGAAATGATAAGCTTAATTATGGAAAAGTTTTCATCGGATAAAATATATTAGGTGTGGCATCTTCGAAACATAATCTTGGCAATTATGAGGTAATTTGGGTCACTGCTAGAGTTTCGTACAAACACATTTTTCTCATTTATTTGCAATCATCGAAAAACCCATTACAAATCTTAATTCATTATTGCGATTCTGGCATAAAAAAAAAAAATGCCAAATGAAGTAACGATTACCGAAAATAATTCGTAATGCGATTACCCATTTGCCAGGTGCGTGGCTGCCCATTGGGGCCAGTCGAATCCGCAGCCATTGGCCAATATGCAGGTAGCAGTCGGCAGGCAATTGGCACACATAAGTTAATTTATTACCGGGCACGAGTAATCCCCTTTTAGTTGTACTTTTGCAGAACTTGACTGCCGTCACGTCCCTCTCAAAATGTGTAAAAAACTTAGCCGAAACTGAGCTGAAAGCGAAAGCAGAAGTGCTGGCAATTTACATTTGTTTGTTTATGGCTTTTATGCGGCATGGAGCGGGTCGTCTGGAATTTATGTCACCATCTGAAATGCAAAAATGTGTGTCATGCCTCGCTACTGATGGCACCCATAAAACAAACAAAAAAAAACCACTCAAACAAACAAACAAAACCGCAGTCGAAAGAAAAAAATAAACGCAAATAGAAATGCACGGCACATGCCGCGTATACGTTATTTAACAGCATTATGACATCAATAGTTAGCATTTCTTTTTCTATTTTTATCGAGCGTTGTTTGTTGTAATCCAAATGGTTCAACAATTAAATAAATCAAATATTGAAAAGGAAAGTTCGTGTTGGGTTTATCAATCAGTCCATGGAAGTCACAACGGAAGCAGGGATCGAATTTATGTTGTCACAAGTCTTTTCAGCTGGACGTGGGGAATATTTTTGATTTTCTGATTTGCGTAGAGGTTGCTTGAACTTGTTTTCGGCGAAATTTATTTATTTGTTTGACATTTATTTGGTTTGCTCAGCTGACTGGTTGGCAAACGGAAACTGCGGCCAGTATGGTAATCGCAGAGAAATGATTTTATAAGAATTTGCCTGAGTCAAATTCCTCGTAAAAATCGCACTCGATTATCGGTCACATCGACATCTTTCGGGGTAATTGTATTTATTGATTGAAACTTATTATTAAGCTGTATAAGCCCATTATAAGCAGCAGCTCGTGGTATTAGCATTTTGTTTACAGTCGTTTTACAATCGGTAGTTAGTCATACATCGGATCGATTGGCAATTACAAAACACGTGAGTAAGAACTGTAAAAATACCAAATGGCACATCGAACAAGTCAAACCAGTTGCACCGAAGAGCTGATGAACGCGTGCCAATCCTAAAATAGTTGATATTTGTCTGGCTATTAAGCGACTTGCATAAGCCCATCACAATTGCTAACGATATATCATTGTTAATTTGTCTTATTTAATAAATATTGCACAACCGCTTCGATCGATGGAAATTATGCTATTTTGAGATTTGCATAAATTCCCAGTGATGCCGATAAGCGATTTATGTTCAATTTGCAAGTGCTGATAGTTCGGTAGCTGTGCGCAATTGAGAGTCACGAATTAATTGTCTGTGCAAATCATGAGTTAAGTGGCCTTAGATAAGCCACTACCCACATATGAACAATCTGCGCCAACATAAGAGGCATTCCCAATGAATACTTAGAAACGGAAAAACTCCGAACACCCGCAATCGCTTTTGCGCAATCAGCGGGAAAACAAAAGACTTAGGCAACAAACTTGACTTGCTGCCAATTGGCAAATCATGCAGCAATAGCAACAGCAGCCGATATAAAAATTACTTATGCCTCTCCGAAGAGGGTTTACTTCCATGAAATGGGTTAGTGTGGCACCCAGCAATAATAACAAATAAATGCAATACAAATTGCGGAAGCCATCGGAGTGTTTGGTATGCGCATTACTCATGCGAACGGCCGTTTGACGTCGTTTTTTCATTATCAACAGTCCGCCGTTGCTGCCGCCTTGCCAAATATGCAGACGTACCGGCCAAAACACATACTCGTACAGGTCTAGTGTATACATCTTCATCATTCGTATGTTTATTATATCTGTATGTGCTTTAACGCCTGTCGTCGGCTGGCAACACCCCTGGCATCCATGTCTTGCTGCAATTACTCCAAAGGCACGTAGCGTCATCGTCATGTGACTTTGCACATGATTTCCTACCACCAACACAGCCAGCAGGAAAACAACACCAGCGACTGCCATAAATACTACCACAAAAGCATGGAACAAAACCAGAAAACGAAAGTATTTTTAACAAAAGTCGAGTCCTGCATACTCTTCTGCTTTAAACTTTACTTTTTATTACAAAAACAAAGAGAAAAAATATTTACTTCTTTGAAGTTTTTGAAGGTTTCCCATAAATTGTATACGTGGTAATCACCTTTGCATAAGTCAGCTTAAGACAGGTCACAGTAAGAACATGCCTTTCAAGTATATCTCACAATTTAGGCCACCAAACCCCGGTTAAGTCGAACATTTTCCTGTTACCATGTGATGGTCATGTGATCAGCACAGTATACCCTCCCCAAACACTTTGTGTTTCACTCTGACGTCGTGGTTTCTTTGTCGTGTTCATTACATAGCCAGTTTCTTGGCTCTGAACATTGCACAATGGATAGGAGTAGACCGGGCCAAAAAATAAAACCAGACAAAAGGCTAGGGAAATACTCGTGATTGAATACATTACGCCCTCATCCAGTTTGCATTGCTCTTCTCTGAAAGGATGAGGAAATATTTACGACAAAAAACCAAGTCAACTGAAGAACTCCATACAGAAATTTTCAAGTGCACTTCATTACCATTACGATGATCATTGGTAACTTTGATGATCATCCGACATCAACGTCAAATGCAGGCATGATGCAATTTTCATGTTTACCTCTTCTTTCAGTGACGTTCATCGATGTGGCTTCGAATATTGGTTACATTGCCAAGTCTGCAGTTGCGGCTGCAGATGTTACTGGTTACTATAGTAACTGGTTACTGGTGAGCGTTGCCTGAACGCTAACCAAGAGGCGTGAAGATCATAATTCTATGCCAGTGTATGTCCCCATGGGGCTGTTGCTTTTTATGGCAAGAAAGTGTAAACGCTGGCAAAGTCACGCGCCACAGACAACCATACAAATATATTCGAGTATATGGATAGCGGGGCGTAACTTTCGTTTTCATTGCGAAAGTGCATACAACTTGATATTGGTAAACATTTCGAAGAGCAGCTTTCTGGCCCCCCGTATCTCTCTCCTTTTATACATACAGGGTGTTGCCTGCATGCAAATTGGTTTTGATTTTTCATTTGATTTACGATAAAATGCCAGTTGGTTACTGACAGCAAGGTCACAGCTCGTTGGCCAACTGCCGACCCATTTGGCAAAAAGGGAAAATGTAATCGGCCATTTAGCCAAACTTAGGCCTCGAACTCTCTAAACGGCGCATTAAGGTGACAACACCGATATGATCGCTTATAATCGTCGTGTAATTTACCAAAATTGACAACGCACCCAGGTGTGTTGGTGAAAATGTTTTTGAGTTCCCTCGCCGGCAGCCAAATGCTGTGAAATCTTTTCGGGCAATTTAAGGTGAAATGTGAGAAAGTTAAAAGAGCTTTTGGGTATGGAAATTAAGATAAAGATCGAGATGGGGAAACATAGAGGAGATACGCTTATAAACTTTTTTGGTAACTAGTGAATTTTGAAAACCAGAACTTGAAAATTCTTTTTTTCAAACTTTGTCAAAGGAATGGAAAATCGCTAAAACCAAAATCGACCAACATAATCCACAGAACAACAAACACAATAAGCGTTGGTAGTTGGAAGATTTTATCATTTCCAAAAATATTTGAAAAGCTCTTGAATCTTCACTATAACATCCCCATCGTAATCTTTATCTTTACAACCAACCTCATCCGACTTATGTAAGAAAGCAACCTGTTGCAGCACCTTGAAATGACGGAAGACGCCGGTTGCTCTCAGCAGGCAAGTGTCAAAAAGAAACCTCAAAAGGCTCTTAAAACTTCATTTGAAGAGCTCAATAATATTTAGTTCCGTTGCTGGACAGCAAAATTACTCAAAAACCCGAAAAAAATGAGGCCCAGTCAAGCCTGTTGGCCACTTCATCCTGTTGAAGTTGATTACGTCTTACCATGGCAACAACAAAAAATTTCACTTTCGTCTGTTTGGCATTTTGCTTCAGATTTTGTTATTGGGTTTCTGTTTTTTTTCTTATTTCACAGATACCTTGTACCGTTACCTCTTTAAAAGAGGGGAGCTCAAGCCGCATCCGAAAAATTTCTTTTTAACCCAAATAAACCAGTCGCCAACAAGATGTATGCATGGGTATATACATTTTATATATGTTTTGCGGTTGATTGTGTCACATTTTTGTGTATCGAAGGGAAAAGACTGCGAGCTATATTGAAAAAGACAATTGGCGGCCTGTTTCCTTTAGATTTTTCTTATGTATGGTTTTTTATGTCCAGCTGCTGTGCATATTGGTCGATATAGTTTTATTTTTTATTCGGGTTAACCCGTTTTTTGGACCCACGTATGTAGAAATGAACAAAGTGGTCAGACAGGCGCTGCCACAGTTGGACACTCGCAGAAATATTTGTGCGCTTTGAATTATTCTTGGCGGAGCAGAAAACAAGTTGAGCAACGGCTTCTTGATTTATTGAGTTGGAGTTGGCCAACGACATAGTTATGCATGCTCACTCAGGGTCAACAACTACACCGATCTCTAGTTCTGATTGCCTTTCACCAGGAAGCCCGAGGAAGAAAAGGAATTCTCGGCCATCTAGCCGCCAGCTATATGCCACATGACAAAAAGGTTTATTCAACTTTTCACTGGATCAACTTTCGGTGTTCGGATCTCTAGCCCAGACAAATGATGATTAATTAGTCAATATATTAGACTTAGGCATGCATAAAAAAAAAACGTGTCTCAGACTCAGCCAGCAACGAATTAAATAAATATGATAAATGACAGACCATCGAAAGACGGGCAAAACTTGCAAATTAAATTACAAAAACACATAAAAAACGAATTCTCGACCAACAGAATTCGGTTTCAGTTTCAGATTTCGTTTCAGCCTTGAACTCACCGTTCTGTTTTTGTTCTGTTAATTACTTATTTATCATATACACGCTGGCTAATTGATTTTAAAGCAGTTTTAGCCTGCAAAAAATAAGATAAACTCTTGACTAATTCTGTCTACAAATATGTGTTAGCTGAAGAGGCGGCGCCAGTTTTAATTTGAATACTTTTTTCTTTGGCCAGGTGATAATGGACGTCTGTGAAATAGATTAATCACAAAAAGAACACTTAAATGATGATGGGATAGCTACATATGTGAGGATGCGGAATTGTTAAGTCAAAAATAAATTGGTCTATTAAGAATTTTATGAATTCTAAATAGTCATGTCTGGCGTTCTCAAAGAGATAAATCTTTCGGTATCGGATTAGAGATTATGTTTTAAAAATATCATATATTAAATATAGAATATGTTTAGCTTAAGCTGTTATTATAATTATAAGCTTTCATGTCTTGTTTTTTTCTATTTCAATCTGGCTTGACCTTCAAAAGCCATTCCCATGTGTATTATTATCCTCTCTTTAGGCACGTGTCCCATCATTTTATCCCATAAGATCCACCCACATCCGCATTGGCCTTGCTACCGTTGATTGTCAATTCAAGTTCGTTGCCTAAGTCTTTCGTTTCAGCCCACGCACATGCTCCAGTTCACTTCAAATATTTCGCTTGCAAAAATCACAATTATAAAAATCCATAATTTGTTGCTTTCGGCTAGCCGGTGACATCGCTTTAGGGGGCGCCAAACCTTGACGCCGCAGTCAATAAAAAAAAAATGTCAAAAAGTGTTAAAAAATGTTTGTATGCTGTAAAACACTCGAGAAAACTTTTAGCAAGAATTCTACGACATTTAAGTGACTTAAGTGTGTCAACTAGACAATGTCAGCATCTGGCAGCGCAGTCGGCAGTCAGCAGTCGACAGTCGGCAATCGGCAGCACTTGTGCTTAATTTGCCTGAGCAATCAAGTTGCTCGGCTGCATTCTGAGCGTCGCCGCATGACTAAGCCAAAGAAGTCACAACTGGCCAAGGCCTCGAAAATAGTAAATCTGGTGAGCCCGGCCTGGTCCACCAATGTCGCCAGCCGGCTAGAGATTATCCAACCGATTGCATAAGGGAACTGCTAATGCCGCGTTCCAATTTGCATAACTTACACACACTGATTAACACAAAACGCCGAATTAATGCGACCGGAGATAGGAGATAGGAGAAAACTTTCTACACTTAGCAGTCGACTGTTAAATTTTCAAAATAAAATATCTGTTAATTAAAACTAGGCTCCGCCGCTGAGCTTCTCCATCGATAAAGCCAGATTAATTGCAGGCCTATGAATCGGATACGCCTGAAAATTATGTAAAGTTTTATGATTCGGTTTCTTTTTTTTTTTTTTTGGGATGCCTACGCTGGAAATTATGTCAATGCGGTTAACACAAAACCGAAAAAAGAGGCGAAAAGCGCGGACTGAAAACGAAAATAAAGTCATGATTGTGTAACCGTTCCAAAAACCACCTGGCACGACACACAAACATAAAAAGCGAAAGAGTCTTTTGTTGCCGCTGACAACTTTTTTTTTCTTCGATTTGCCTTGGCATCTTCCCAGTCAAGAGAGGGAAAAATGAAAGTGAAACTTTTCAAATTGATTTTTCACCGCCGAGCTGAGCTGAGCAAAGAAATCCAATTCAAATCGATATTACATGATCGTTCGACTTTGGTCGCGCCTCAATAAATAAATATTCATGTGCTGATATTATATTATCAACCAATTCCATCTTTGTCAACATGCTAATTCTTGAAAATAGTTTTCGATTTGTTGTGAAGAGTTAATGAAATGCCTCAAGGACCATTAAAACGTGGAAGTCGAATCAGTCAGTGATAAGCTGGCTGACTCTGTCAATCTTTGACTTCCGTTGACGCTTCTTGTTGAACGCGAGGCGAGTAGAAAACCCATGATTAATGATGCTCGCGGCTGAACAAAACCACCAAATTGTATTCGCATGCCTTACAAACTATAATTTGTTTTAATGGCCATCTGCGTTTCATGTGTGGCTCGTTGTAGTAGGCCGGCCATTTGGCCTAAGCTCTAATGCTCCGAGCTAATGCATAAATAAAGTCATAAATGCAGCTGAGATCCGCCATCAAAAATATGCCAAAAAACTAGTTTCTAAGGTCAGACATTTATGTCAAGATTTACATATTCTTGCAATTAAATTACCGACTGAGGGAGTGATGAAATATAAATTAACTAAAATTTGAGGACACTTTTAAACAAAGAGATTATGTTAAGTGTTAAGTCCTTGTGAATAGCCTATGATAAGGCTATTTTAATTAATTGTTATTTTATTTTATAGACTAAAACTAAATCTCACATTAAGCAAAACAATGATAGCTATTTTAATTCTCAACTTGATTAAATCACTCTTTCACACGTTAATGGCTTAATTAAGAATGTTGAACTCACCATAAAATTAAACTAAACAGCATTTGAGGCTTCTTCATGATGAAGCCAATGGCTGCTCCTGCGGCAAACTTTCTTTGTTGTGGCTTTTTATGAGGATTTAAATTAAACGACTTACTAATTTATATAGTTTAGACTTATTAGCTCTTTGTTATACAAAATAAATAGATTTAAATTATATTTGGCACGTTTTGCGAATTTGTTGATTGATATATTAAATAAATATATGTTATGTATATTCTCCTGGCTATGTATCTCTTTATTTCTAGCGCTTATTTGGCGGGTGGGGCACCGGACGAGGATTTGGTCACCAGCAGTGCGACGGAGTCTTGCCAAAGAGATTGTAACCGATGATGTATGCTATGATTTGTATCCTTTCGGTAATTAGCATAACGTTGGCAATGCAGAGCACAGCATTGACCCGAATAGCAAACCGACGAGCCTATCTTGGCCACCAAAATGGGTTAATATATCAATATATATATTTTTTATTTGATTTTCAGTTGTGTGATTTTAGCCGTGCACACGACTGGATCCGTGCTAACGCGCCAACGAACTGAAACTGAAACCGAATCACACAAACGAAACCGAAAACGGAAAACCGAAAACCGAGACCAAGATCCAAGATCTTTTTCAGACCCAGACCCAGACGATAAATCCGACTCTGACTCTGAACGCGGCAGAGGCAAAAACGTATCTGAAAGCTGCCAGTCCCGGTGGCCGGGCTTAAAAGGCAATTCACACAGACACCAAAACGGATCTGCTGTAAGCCAAGCTTCACCCCATAGCGAAACCGGTAACACAGACACTACGTCTCTCTCACAGACTTAGACTCCCTCTCTTTCTGGGCCAACACCTCGCTCCCTCTCTCTTTTTTGGCGTCTTTCTTGAGCTTAAGTTTGAGTTTGAGTTTTGAGGGGAGAAAGTAAAAATGATGCGACTGGCGTACACTCAACTACACAGCATGGGACAGGGCCAATACGACCAATATTGACCATCAAAAAAAAAGGTACATATATATTTTTTTAAAAGACACACAAAAATCAGGCCAAAAACTCACGCTTTTGTATCGTCCGCGGTTGGAGGCTCTTTTTTTACACCTTTTGTCTGCACTTTTGATTTCAAATCGCATCTTGTGAAAGGAGTCACGCGCTTTGTATTTTGCACAAGAAGCAAAAACAAAAGTTCCCCAAAAAAGTAAGAAGAAATCAAAGCCGAGTGAGGAGGCAAATATTTATTGCTGGCAAAGAGTCGAGAGGAAACAAGTTTCATCTCATTGTGGGACGAGTCTCCAATCTGGGGTCTCCTGCTGTGATGTAAGCATCCAAGACCCCATTACCCCGACAGATAGACATTCCCAGACCCAAACTCAATCTGGGGGTTCCAATTCCAGTCTAAGATCCGTACCCAGCTGCAAAGGTCTCGCTGCCATTGGGCAATTCGGCTCATTTAGAAATCGAAATCGAATGCAAGCCATCGGTGATAGGGCATCCCCCGCGATGCCCAGACACAAAAGCTGACTTGGCTGGGTTAATTGTTTGGCCAAACATTTCGGTTAGTGGCCGGGTGCTAAAATGCCAGGACAAACACCGCCGACAGGTGGCGCATGTTCGACACTCATAAATTGGACAGCTAAATGTCATCAAAAAAGAGGCTTCGCCCTCAAAAGAAACAAATTAATATATAAGCCTGGCACTTGAATCGCTAATTGAAATCAGCCAAAAACATTTAGACCTTTAAGTTCGATATATTTTTTCAGTACAGAGAAATTTGCATTAATACAACCGGCTAACGTAAAACTGATAATATTCTCATTATCTAGACTGTTACCTAAAAATTTTAAATGCGTCATAGCTTCTTAGTCTAATTTGAATAATTCTGTTTAAAATTATCATCAGCTTTGCTTCACTGGTAATATTTTACTAACCGGGAATTCCCCAACATTGCGAAATACCAAAAATAACAAAATATTCATTTCGATTAATATCAAAAAGTAAAATTATACGAGTACTAGTTACTAGTTATGTTATCTACTGATAATAAATCAATTCCCACACTGTCCAACCCAATTCGAAATCAACTATGAACATGTGTTAAATATCTTCCGAAAATCGTAAACAACTCAAAAGCAACGTCAACATGTTCCCTTGTAGAAAGTGCATTCTGACATGAGTCCCCACCTTTTCGTATTCATTTACGGAATAATTTCATCATTAAAGACATGAAGAAAACAGTGTTGTGTTGAATTTACTCAGCCCAAGCTCATCGGGCTCATCAGGCCCGCAGGCATGCAGGTCAATGTATTTATCGAGAGCTGGAAGATGCGCATTTGATTTGCATAATCTCACATTAGCTGGCATTATGTTTTCCTCATTTCAATGATGATGATGATGATCGACAACCTTAACTTTCCAATCAATCAGCACACGGGAGCTGAGATGCATGGCGACAAATGCTACGACATTTTACTTTTATATATCTGCAGCCGGTGTCGTTGTTTTGTTGCTATTTTGTCTTTACTTTTAAGCTGTTGTTTTACCCCTTGATGTCTCTTCATGGCTAATGGACGCCCCTCACATGACCTTGCGATGGGGCCTTAATTTGTCACCTCTGTTGACCAAAACAAAAACTGAGCTTAAATTACATTTAAACGACCATTTCAGCTGTCGCTCGCTTAATTACACTATATGTGTCGACAAACTTCAGCACACATCAGTGAGAAGGCATTATCTCTGCAAAAATATTTGTCTAAAAAGTGAAATACAGAAAAAATGGCATCACAAGATGGCATCACGTGCTTAATGCTAATCTCCATTTTGATTTTTTAACGATTTCGACTTCGTGGTTTGCCCTCTGCAGCATATAGCAGTAGTAACAGGAACCAAGCCCCAAAAGCTCTAACTAAAGAAAACAACGAAAACTCATAGCAAAGTTGTTCGTTCGGTTGTTTTTTGTTTTTGCTTTGACTCATGTGATCTGTACGTTGGCTAGCTTCGAGTGGCGACGTTTTTTTGGTTAACAATAATTAATAAATGCAATGGCTGGGCATATACCTTATATTACTTTCCGCTTTGAGCAAACACATGCTAATTGTCAACACGGATGTGGGGTCTTTTTACGGCAAATTCGACCCCCAGAAGATCCTTATTGCATATTTTCTAGAAACCGAATGAAGGGGAATTCCTAAGCCGGTTCTATTCGTTAGTGACTGGCGCCAAAGTTACGAACTTGAATCTGGGATTTTGGATTTGGATTTTTTTTATGGGTTTCTGTTTCAAAAGAGCCTCTCATGTCATAGAGCGGCCATTGGCCAATCTTCAGCCTCGAGAATATCGTGTGCCAGGCACTAAATCGATTTTTTTACTGCTCTTCAAATGGCGTCAAGATCTGCCAAGACTCGAGGTCCGGTTTAAAGCATTACGTAAAAAGAGACGCACACAGAAAAATAAATAAATATCGTTTTAATGATATTTGAAAACAATTTATATACAAAATGAGTCCAAAAAAAAGTGTAAAAATTCCGTTAGTCAAAAATAATAAAAAAATAAGAAAAAGCTGCCTCTGAAAAGTCGCTCCCAAGTGTTGGACGTGTTGTTCACGTTATGTCAAACTAATTTCAATGATTGAGAGATGGGGCGAAAGGGCTGGTCAGTAATTTATGAATCGTTAAACCTTAAATGTACAATTTATAATCATCAAACAAAAGACAAAGGCAACAACAATTAAAAATACCCACATGGGTTTTAAAAGCTTAGTTTAACCGGTTCGTTTCTATCAGCAATAAAATATTCGCACTTTAACCCTCCTCAAGGTGACCACGCAGTGAAAGTATTAAAAGTCATAAATAAAGTTTGAAGCAGGTGTAGATAACATTTGACAGAGCTATATAGTTTTTCAACTTATTAAAAAGTTTTTGCCATTTACAATTAGTGAGGCATTAGAACGATTTTCCTTAAGCAATCCTAAATATCAATTTCTTCATGCAAATAAACTTCTCTAAAATCTTTTAACTCAACTATTTTGATGTCTTTGTTCTCCACAGCTTCACTTGATGCATCATTTTAAAGTTGTTTTGTATAAACCGAAGAAACGTGCTTTGTGTGGGTGTTTTATGAGATTGAAGAATGTCTAACACTTCGTGATTGTTGATTGAGCCGGCACCAAACAAAACACTTTTAACTATAAAGAATTTATTGCCATTTTTTTATTGTTATTTATATTTTAACTATTTCCCCAATTTAGCTTAAATAATTGGCAAAAAAGTTATTATTTGATTATTGAGATGATTATAATAATTAAAAATAAATAAAAAATCTATCAATTGCAAACAAAATTGGCTTTTTAAACTAAATTGAGAATTTAGAAAATCCACTTGATTTTCTTAATTTTCATTGTTTATTTTCATTTCACTTTTATTAGAGTTCAGTTATAATTCAGCTTACAAATATTTCCTTTATTTGACAAATAACACTCAAAATTCAAAAACTATAAAAGGGCGCGAATATGTGCGACCAATGCCTTTTCTCAACAAAATCTCAAGACGCCTTGCGAGCTATGTGTTAAAATTCCCAAGAAATTCCCTTCTCGACAATAAAACTCTACTTATATTCTACATTATAAGAAGATTGCCCTCAAAAGCATGCATCATATTATTAAAGTTTTTATATTTTCAAGCCTTTGGAAGTAGGCAGTAATTTCAGCTAACACAAAGACAACGCCAAATGTGATTGCCTACTTTTCGGCTTAACATTTAAATTGAGCACTCCTAAGAGATTATTAGCGCTGACTTGTAAACCTACAAGCAAGTGTCTCGATTTGGGTCTCAAAATATGATCAGATGATCGTATCATGGAATGTTATATCTTGTTTAGTTCGTATTTAAATTCCCCGTCGAACTGTGTACCACACTTAAAAAGTCAATTTTTTCCGATTTTTCGTAAAATTTTATGATGTTACCCCTTTCCAAAAATGCGAAAATCGCTCTGTCCCGATTTGAGTCTCAAAATATCAGTATTTTCCTCATTACAAAGCCAAAGATGATCGTATCATGGAATGTTATATCTTGTTTAGTTCGTATTTAAATTCCCCGTCGAACTGTGTACCACACTTAAAAAGTCAAATTTTTCAGATTTTTCGTAAAATTTTATGATGATTACCCCTTTCCAAAAATGCGAAAATCGCTCTGTCCCGATTTGAGTCTCAAAATATCAGTATTTTCCTCATTACAAAGCCAAAGATGATCGTATCATGGAATGTTATATCTTGTTTAGTTCGTATTTAAATTCCCCGTCGAACTGTGTACCACACTTAAAAAGTCAATTTTTTCAGATTTTTCGTAAAATTTTATGATGTTACCCCTTTCCAAAAATGCGAAAATTAGTCTCAAAATATCAGTATTTTATTCATTACAACGCCAATAATGGTCGGAAAATGGAATGTTATATCTCGTTGAGCTCGTTTTTCAATCTATTTTCAAAATAATGAAGTCACATTCAAATATGAAGAAAAAAATATTTTTTTCAATTTTTTGAAAAAATGCAAAATTTGAGAAAAATTAAATTTTTGAAAATCATCACCACAGCCACATAGAAAGTTTGCTTGGGTCGTTAGCTGCACAAAACAGTCTTTCTTTTGGTTCTGCTACTGGGGAACCCACCTTTTATACTGCCAATACAAGGCTCACGCCAACAGCTCTTGACTTTTTCATCGTAAATGGAATACAACTCAACAACTCGGTCGAAACAAAATACGAGCTATCCTCGGACCATTTGTCAATAGTTGCAACGCTTAGTCAAACTCTTCAATACAAGTTCAAACGGAAACAACTTCTACCACACGGCTCCTCTGTTGGAAAGTTTAACGAATCTCTGGACAGAAGCATAAATCTCAATACCGTGATTAACCATCCAGATGAGCTTGAAGATGCGGTAAGACTCAAAAGATTCCACCCACACGATCTCCCGTTAAGATATATGTAACACCTTTGAAGTCTGATGTAATTTAATGTAATTTAAGCTGTTAATGAATAGAAATATTGTATTTGTATTGTAACCTTTATACCAACACTTTGTTATCCCCTATATTTAAAACCTGCTCAAGCTGCCACATAGGTAGCAGTATACCTGTTAATCCTGAATAAATATCAACTGTTTAAAAAAAAAAAAAAAAAAAAAAGTATATAATAACAATAACATGTATTACATTTTTTGGATTTATTTTGTAACATTTCAGAATGTTCTTAAATATTTTAAATTTTATTGCTATCAATTGAAAGTATCAATAATATATATTAACAACAATCAACCTCTTTTAATAACATACTCTTTGTGATCTAAAAATATATCACAATTAATTACCTCTGCGACTAGCTAAGTAATTGCCATCGCCTACAGCAGCTTCTTGGTCTCGTTCAGTTTGTCTGCGTCCTCCCCTTTGAGCCACCACTTGTGGACCCTCCTGATCATCCGCCAAGGCAGCCAGATGGCAAGGAATACACCCAGCAACAGGCATCCCAAGACGTCGAGTAGCAGATACTGATGCAGGGGGATGAAGGCGCCCTGTGACTTTAGATGCCTGGCCCCACGATGCCGGATTATGTACTCGATCCAGAAGGTGGCCTCATCTAGCGGATGTATAGGATTATCGCGGAAACGCTGCGAGACCTCCAGAGCACTGCGTTTGTACTTGGGATCGTTGATCAGAGTTTGAATATTCTGCAGCAAATCATTGGTGGTGAGTTTGGAGAACACCAGGGACCGAGCATAGCCCTCCCGCACCGATTTGATAGTGTTCCGGTGTTGATCCCCATACAGGGGTATACACAACATCGGAACTCCCCAGTAAATACCCTCTTGGGTTCCAAAAATACCACCATGCGTGATGAAGAGCTTGATATTCGGATGGGCCAAAATGTCGTTCTGGGGCATCCACTTCTTGATCATCACATTCGAGGGCAAATCCCCGATGGAATCATTCTCAAACTTCCAAATCACTTGCTGCTTAAGCTGCCCAAAGGCTTTAAGAATCAGAGCGGTTTTCTCAGCCGGCAAATCTGTGCTCTTTACATAGGATCCCATACTGAAGTAGATCACTCCATTGGTGGCATTATCTAGGAAGTTTTGAAGATCAGCGGGCAGCTTCTTGGGCTTCTGAATGTGCGCTCCACCCACGTCTATAAGTCCTGGCATACTGGGCCTCGGAAGGTCTACACTTCGATGGGCATTGATCAGGACAAGGGATATATTACGCTCAAGGTCCAGAACATTAGGAAGGGGACCTAAAAAATATATCAAATTAAATTAATTTCCCAAAAAATTATCATCTTATAAACTCACCCTCAATGGATCCCTTGAAATACTTCTCTGCCAGCTTCTGCATCTTGGGCAAATAAACCCAGCGCCTCATAACCGCATCATACAAAGATAAGTAGGCATTATAGGCTCGCTCTCTGAAAGTCATGCGATCCGTATGCGAGAGTAGAAGATGTGGAATCAACGACCAGGGTGTAAGGATACCCATCGCATGATCTATATTATCAGCATAACCCATAGTGCCAATTGTGACAACAGGACAATTGAACCTTTTGCCAAACATCAGAAAAGCCTCGTGGAAAAACTGTTCCAGTATGACCAAATCATAGTGGTCATCTTGGCTCTCGATCAGTTTCTTTACTTTGGGATCCTTGAAGGCATGCTCCGTGGTCATGAGTCCAATGGTCCACCAAAGCTCCAGGTTGTTGAAGTCACTCACAAATTGCATCGTGAAGATGTTTTCCTTGGGAACTAGACAATGAATGATTATTTCCTTATGCCCCAATCCAGTTTTATCTTATCCAACTCACAGTGCTTGGGTATATCAAACGAGGGGCTTATGATAATCTCTGTAAGATTTTCATGGGGCTGCTTGGTGGGATGATTATTCACACTGGTCACATGATGTCCTTGTCGCAGAAGATCCCTTTGAAAGTGCTCCAGCCAGAGCCAGTGACTTGGGGCGGGAAAGGGTCCCATAAAGAGTATCCGAGAGCCAGATCCCAGACCCGGCAGTCCGATCATCAAGATCATCATCATCCAACCTTTCCACTGCAGCTGCATCTCCATCTAATACGAAATCAACATTGACAATTAACAGCCTCAATTAAATTGTCAGTCGAGTAGGGTAAAAGTCGCGTTATTAGCGTCAGATTAGCATTAGGTGCAGTTTATGTTCGGTATTTGATTTCGTTATTTGCATAAAGCAAAGTGTTTTTACACATTCTGTTTGCTAATGATTGGGTTATTTATGAGATTTCTGGTTTGATGGATCTTCCAGATGGAAAATGAATGTGCTGCACATGGATGAAAGGGAAACTGTTGCAACTGAATAATTGATTATACTTAACACCTTTCAGAATCGCTTAAGTTAATTTGTTCTTTGTCGTCTCTTGGCATAAAAAAATATTTAAATTATAATGCAACTAATATGGGAATATCGCCTATTTCTTTGTATTCGATCTGGCTTTTTGTGCGTTTTATAGATTCAGTCTATTAAATGAACACACCTTTGGCTCTCTGTCAGTCAATTGGATCTGATTGAAATGCAGTAAGTAATTTCATCATTTCGAAATTAGCAATTAATATTTTAAGTGGACCAGACGGCATTCTTGTTAGTTTATCCGCCTTATATGGTGGGTTTAGGTTTATAGTCATAAGTAAGGCGTTGATTTCCAGACATCTTAAAATTATTGCTGATCATGCAGTTTTAATTATGTTTGGACATTTCTAATCTTAACTTTATTATCGCTATCTGAAAGTGTGCCAACATTCGTAGATTATAAATAAATTTCACTTGCTTACTGGCCTTGAAAAATTTAGTTCACTCCGCTTAAAATTAAATTAAGTTTAATGGGATTTAAATTAGGGGTATCGTCACGGAATCACACATTTTAAATACCCTTACTCTTTTTTAAATTAAGTTTTGAGAATTTCAAGATCTTATTGTAAGTTTTCCCGCTTTAATTTTTTACAACTTTCTGTTTGGGTTGACACTTGAATAATAAACAACTAGCTCAAATATAAGTAAACAAGGCACTAGTGGTCGTCATTGAGCCGTGCTGATAAATCGCATGTGGAAATAATTTTGTCATCGCAGCACTCGCAATCCGCATTGTATTTTACTGTTATACTTTTATAGTAAAATTACACTTCCTCATATTAGCTGTCGCTCAAAGTTGTTGTTAAATGTAATTTCAGTTGAAATGCAAACTAAACTTCGTTATTTAGAGGCTTTGGTCAAGGCTGGATGTTAGGGCATAATTGTTTTGTAATTTGTTTATTGCCAGCCACCACTAATTGTTTATATCTTGGGAATTAAATATTTTTTATTTTAATGATTTTCAGTGCTGGCATGTCTTGTAACAATTTCAAGATTTGAATGATGAAAGAGACGAATGGTTTTGAAAGTAAAAGTCGATTTTTGGGAACGAACTGAATGTGAAAGTATTTGGCGCTTACGAAATGTCTATTTTCTGTTTTGTTATTTTTGTTATTTTTTAATCTTTAACAGAGCCCTTATACATTACTCTAATTAATTTGTGCAATCAAAACTGGTTGGTTTTTTTTATTGGTTTTAAGAACTAATTGCAACAATTAAAGCTGGTTAATCAAATGCATTTTTTTCCAATAATCTTCTTTATAAAGCAGTTACATTAAATTCTATGAATGCAGTTTAAGGTATTGTATAACCTTTTTATATAATATTTCATGTTAAGTTTTTCAATTGTGTTTTCTAAATTTGAAACATTAAAACATGAACATTCGCAAAATTATTTTTAGTCTATGCCGTCAGTACAGTAATGATATGTTTCTGTCTCATTTATTAACCTTTTATATATTGAGTTCCTTTTTTGTTTCACAAAAATAACACCTGAATTTATTTGCACTTGAAATTCAACAAAAAATTAACACTTTTCGAATTCAAACTCAAGTTTAGCGCGAAACGCGACCGCTGGGCACCAAAGTGCAGTTATCACTAAGTCTCGACGGCACAATGGCCCGAACACCTCAACTTAATCAGCATTAGCCTCAGTCGAAGTCGAAGTCTCAGCCGACGCCGGCAGACGCAAAAAGCATATGTATAGAAATAAAAGCTTAGCTGTATCTGTGGGAATCGAGTGTTAATGCCGCCCTGGCTCAGATATACGAGTACCGGCGACGCCGATTGTTTGCCTTAATCTTATTGTTTGGCTGTCTCGTATGTGTGTTGCGATAATTACAATATGGTTACAGTTGATTCCAAGTGTTGCCAAAATAATTATTAGCTGTCAATTCCACCCTTTATCCATATATGAGTGGCTATTCACGTGTCGATCGACAGATCAGAAAATCCAAAACAATTAATTTACTGCGAAATAGACTTGGCCAATGAACTTTTCCCAACAAAGTTCATACATTAATTGGATTGGGAATTTTGACAACAAACAACAACAGTAAGCCAGCTAAACGGGAATTTTGTCTTATCATCAAAACATAGAAGTCAAGTTTCAAATATAATTGAATTAATATTATTTACTACCAAGCTGAGCAAGCTTTCTTCAATATCAAAACGAAATTTTTGTACTTTCAGCTTAAACATATACATTATTTATGTAAATAAACAAGAAAAGAACTCACATTGAACCAGCTTTAAAAATGTTTCTGCAGAACAAAAACAGCTTATTTAATTTTGTCGAAAATGACTAAGCAAAAAAGCCACTAAATCTTTTTATCAACAAGAATAAAGTCATATTTTCCATAGAAATGTCTTCAGGATGCATCGCTTTGAACAAATCACGATTTTCTATCTAAGAAAAGCACTTGCTTTCCTATGGGATTTCCATGGCCAATTATTTACCGCATTTCCTTGTTCGTCAGAATTAAAACAATGACCTGCACATTGAATAAGTTTATCAAAAACGTGTTTCATTTGTAAACGGAAAGTAAAGCCGACATTTTTTGTGGGCAAATTACATTTAGTATAACACGTATTAAATAAATGTATTTTGTGCATTCACCTTGGGAGCGGTCAACTTGACTTCATGATAAGTCATATCATTTAATGATAATTAATGTTTGTTTGAGTTCTTAAGGTTGGCAAACAAATGGAGCAGAGCACATGCCAAGATAACACAATTGTCATAAAGCCCACTGAGAACATGCAACAAATTAAAGAAAATAAGGGAATAAAAAAAGAAACAAAACCAAAAGAACTCCAAAGACGGCTAAAAAAGGGCACACAACACAAGATGCCGAAACATTTCATTGAAAATTGGCACGCTTCATTGAAGCGAGGCACAAAAAAGCTGAAACCACAGTCTCAAAGAGGCGACGGGTGGAGAGGGCGCAGGGCGTGGCTGGGAGTGGGCGTGGGCGTTCACCCAAACCGGCGACGATGATGGACGACCATGCCCCAGGCGCTGTTTTGATGGCAACTCAAGACATGGCCAAGAACGGCACTTTTGATGCAAACGATCGCCAGGAAAGGCCACCAAAAAGAAAATGTTCATTCATAAGATCGCAGTGGACATGCCACAATGAAAATGAATGGCCTGTAACAAAAATGTCGACGGAAAAGAGCCAGAAGAAAATGGTGGTGGAACAAACAGCTCACTAAATCAGCGGCAAATAAAACAAAACTATGAATATATTTAATTTTCCAGATGGAAGCTGTCAAACAAGTTAGTAGTAAAGGGGCTTAAAATCATTTAAAGGGATTTCTAAAGGTTTAAACTTAAACCATTTTGCATTTGTGACAGTAATCATATTGTAAAAAAGTTTTGCTTTTAGTATATGATATGTATCTTAGCCAAGAATATAATATATATACTCTTCTTTGTTGATCAACCCTTAACGACAATATCCAATGATTCACTTCCTGACTCATTTACGAGGTGCAAACGACAAATTGCCTAAAACACCAAACCCCATATAAGATTTCACTGATCAATGTAACCATAAAACCAAGCCCAGCCCAAAATGAAAATTGACTAAAATGGGATTGGAAACAGAGCACTATTTGTTAGTTTGCGCCAATTTAATGTTTACTTTGCACTTCAGTCCACGGCCAAATTAGGGTAAATCAAACAAAAACGCATAGGAGCGAGACCTTTTGTATCTCATGCTGCCATTAGTCTCTATCTATCTATCTATGTATCTATTAATCAATTAAGGCAACGTGCGCTTTTCCCAGGCGCGCTTTAGATAAAGACACCATCGAAACATAAAATGGGAACCAAACCCCACGATGACACTGACAATTTCCACGGAACGTTGGCCTTTCGATTCGATCGCGTTGCGTTCCGCGGGGCAATTAAAAATTTCACCCAAATAGCAAACGTTGCGCATGATTAGTAAACGAATTTGATAAGTTCCATCCGAGCCCGCATCGGAAAAACTCCGAATCCGAAAGACAGCGGGTGGTCGCAGTACACACGATAGCAGAAAATTGTAGAGACTTGAAGGGAGTGAATCTTGTTTTGGCAGCTGTCAATGTGTCAATATTAATTTAATATGTCGAAAGCAGAATTTTGCGCAATTTAAAATTGAGTTATAATGTGACAGACGAGATGGTCTTGAAATATATGTGGTACTTTAAGGGTTGCAGACAGAACTCAAGAGGTTGGGGATTGACCAACCCTGTAATCTCAATTATTTGCTTGTAGATGGCTAGTAGAAGAGCCTTAACCTCTACCAATTTGTTAATGAGAAAATTACATGGTCTTTGCATATAAATTCAAAGGTTATAACCTTAACGTAACATAAACTACGAACCAGAACAGTGGACACGCCCTTAAAGTGATTCACTGCCGAAGAAACTCCCCCACATTTACCAAGAATTTCTGGCATTTTCCTTCTTAATAGGCAAACAACTATAAAAACTGTTGAGGCGTAAAAGGATGCACAGGGCCTTCGGAATGAAGTAATGGTAAGTGTACTTACCACTTCCTCTTCTGATAGCACTATCAACGTTGGTTTCAACGATCCTCATGGTTGACTTGCATCCTTGAGATATTGTGTGAAGTAAAATAGTTTTACCATTTAAGTGGTTCCGGAAATATCTCCAGCTTTCTGCATTTTAATAGTAAAAGGTGAAAATAATATGAAATATTTATATTTTTTAGGACTTTCCTATAAAGTATCCCACATATGACAATCTGTCCAGCTGACTTAAAATATAATTTATAGTTTAAGAACTTAATCCCATCACCAAATGTTCCTTCATATTATACGCCTCTTTTTGGGGTAAAATTTCACTTAACGGCCCCTAGAGGGTTGCACGTTATCTGTCACTATAAAAAACACAAATGTTAGTATATAATTTAGATAGTCTATGCAAATACCGTAAGCCACTTGACAACCCTGAATACAAATAGCACGAGAACATCGAAGTTTTCCTACCACAAACATAATACTTTCGAAACATATTTGACTTCTTGTCTATCTCCATGGGCCATATCGTTGATTTCGTTTCGAATGATTTTTTGGGATTGCACCCAAGGCATTTTCAGCATTTCTCGTTCTGTTTTCGATAGTGGTGCTCATTTGCTTCCCTGGAGCAATTAGTAAAAGTGCAGTTTTATGTGTTTATTTTTACATATGCCACAGCTGTGTGGCCTAACCTAGATCCACGTAGACGCTCTTGCAGCCACTCCTCTGGAACACTTTTCCCGAACACAAATTGTGCGTGATATGGAGTCGTTGCTGTCGCCGTTATCAGGAACAGCCCCTAAGGGTTTCCTTTCGCGCTGCAGTTGTTCAGCCTTGAAAGGGGCGTGTAATCGAAGACACACAGGAAAAAATAAATATTTCTTGTAAAAATCATCAGTTCCATTTCTAAAATAAAAGACATTTTGCATTTCAAAGGGAAATATATCACATTATTATTATAAAAATAGAAAACTTCTTTAAGAGTAAGAACTTAAACAAGTAAAAACTATAAACAACATGATTTTTCTAAAGGAAAAACCTCTTTTTTGTCGGTGCACTTATAAACCCGCCCAGCTCAAAAGTTTCTCTAGGTGTTTTTGTGTGATTTTATGCATTTAATTTATTAATGAGCTAACCACAGCGAATTCTTCATTCGCAGCGCCTGATTTATGTGGCATCTGCTGTCAGTAGGAATTTCTGATGGCTGTCAGGGAGGTCGAATAATCGCTGGGTGCGGGTCGCTGGTTTCTGCTGCTTTCTGGTGTCAAAGGGTTCATCAGCACGCCAAAAGGATATTTACACAACAGGACAGACGGAGGGCATAACAACAAGCAGGAACCGTGTGACTTATGTAACTTAATAGGCTGATGAAAAATGGTTAAGAGATTTTTATCACAGAGACATCCAGAGACAGACAGAGGAAAGCAAACAACATGTGGCAGAGTCGAAGGCAAAGGCGATGCCCCAGCAAAATTGCCGCCACATGTGTGGGTGCACAGTAAAAAATCATTGTTATAATTTATATAGATTAATACCTAGGATGTCTATTATCAGAACTATATTATTATCATTGGTTTTCATATTTATATAAACTTAAAAATATTTTTGATATTTTTTGGAGTTATATCCAATACCATAAAGAACACTTTCTTTTTTCTTATAGTTAAATATTTCTTTCTATGTATGAGACCCCTGCCATCCACAATGAAGATGAAGATCATCAGAGAGTAGCGTCCAAGCACCGCTAAACAAATTGAAAAATTTCAAGTCCTCAGCCTCTTGGCGCTCGCAATTGCTCAATCCGCGTATTTTCGCGTGCTGCACAGGAAAATGAAAATGAAAAAAGGAAAAAGAGGGGAAAATGTGGAGAGCACTGAAAATGAGCAACGGAACAATCGAGTGTCATCAGCGGTGTCTCAGTGATGAGCAAAGAATCTTCCCATTTTGGTAAAGGGGTGAATGGATCTTCGAAGAAATCATATAGTATAGAGTTAATGAAGCCGAAAGAACGGAAAGAGTGGACATTTCACCAGCTATGATTCACTTGTAATACAAAGAATATATGACAAAGAGAATTAATTAATAGGAAATGTTTATTTAATAATGGTTTTTAACATTTAAAGATAATCGATTATCTTAAACTCATGAGAAACATTTAATTAAACAATTTAATTAGGGCATCCTTAAGAAATGAATTATTAATTTACGGTATATTGTTTTGAAATCTTTGATAAAGTCGTTTATGAATTTCCTTATTTTCTTCGACTTTGACTTCATAATAATAAAAAAGGGTAATTCTTTTGATTTTTCCTAACATTAACTTCAGGATGATCCTTGAGTATCCGTATCCCATTCTCATCCCTTGTCTGCCAGCGGGCAGCTCATCACTGTTATCTAGATAGAGATACATATTGGGCTCGCGTTTGCGTTTGCGTTCGCGCGTTCGCAGAGCGCACAAAAGTCACTCGCGGGTGCGCCATGGAGTGGTGGCATGAAATCGACATCGGAGGCATCTGAGGCCTTTGAGGGAACCATGGGGTCTGGGTCTCATTGGGCATTTCGAGCGAGCGCACTACTGCGTGCGGAATTTTCTTTCCTCTCGGCTCAGTCTGTGAGAAATCGTTGGCGTGTTCGGTTCGTTTGCTTATCGGAAAGAAAAGTTGAAAATTCGGAAATTCAGTTGCTTCTTGGTGCGGGTGGCAGTAAACAGAAAACGCGGAAAACTCTGCGCGCCCCTTCAGAGTTTTTCCAAACGTGAGTGGGCCAGTGTGTGTGTAAAAAATAGAAATTTAATTTATTTTTAAGTTTGTGCTTTTCCTTGCCCATCTTCACGGTGCTCTTTGAGTTCGGTCGGCACTTTTCTGTCAAGAATTCCGGCTAAAAACTCATTGTGAATGGAAACGTTTGTTGTTGTGCCTTTTGGATATCTATCTTATTGGGGGCAACACAAAAGATACAGAACTTTGCAAATTGACCGTGAATATGGTTAATTCCGACAATTCTGTGAAAATTGCTAAAGGCCTATATCAAGCAAAGTCAGTGATCTTAACGGAAGTAAACGAAAGATGTGTGCCCAAGCTGCTGAGAAAAATAAAATATAAATCATTTAATTTAAAGGCAGAAAGAGTGTGAAAAATGGGGTGCTGAAATCGTTGGCAGAAATTCGAGAAAATGAATGAATCAAAGTGTGAGAAAAAAAATGAATGCCGAAAAATCAAAGTGAAAAACTTAAAATTGTGCCAAATTAAAAAAACTATTTTAAATTAATGTTAAAAATATAATGCAAATCTATAATCTGATATACAAAATTGGTGAACAAATATGAAAATTATGAAATATTTCTTCTTTAATAAGAATAATATTTTCCTAAAGCCAAACCAAATCTCGAACTGTATCCTTTAGTGGATATATGCACCAATAAAATTCATATTTGCGACATATGGTGTAGAAATCGCAACGGAGCTCAACTCCATTCATCAATCGACAGTGCTCGGTGATCATAAATCACAATGCCCAAAAAGAGTGTGACTAAATCATCGACTGCAACTGAGTTGGAGTGTAAAAAAAAAACTCTGCACACCTTGGAGGCCTTTTGAGTTAGGAAAGCGTTCAAATCGGCGTGGGCAGTGACGCCTACCAATTTTCCATATGAAAACAGCGTTTTCATGGCTTATCAAATCAATTTTCGATTCGGTAGAGCGGTATTTTGTTTGCCTTTTGTTTTCCCTAAAATTTTGTGTGCCACCAATTTTTTAATTACCATAAAAAATATAAACTAGTATCACGGAAAGAACTTTCCCAAAAAGTGCATATATATCGGCAGCTGGCCAACACCGACTATCCGGTAGATACATTTATTAATTTTTATGTTAATGGTGGAGAAAAGTTTGAGGCGGAGAAAGAGGGAACACGCTTCTGTCATAAAATGCACCCCGGCGATTGTCACTTTATTTTTTCGGTTTCGGTGTCGTCTGCAGTGGCAAGGCGTTTCAAATTGTATTTTGACTGCTGCGACGAGCTATAAAAATATTCGAAACGACAAGAACTTGGGCGGTGTATATAAAAATTAACAAGCAGAATTAGCAGAGCGAACTTAACAAGAACAAGACACCACGACTCGTGGTGTTCCTGGAGGCTGTGCAATTGACCTCGTGATGTCGAACCTGCCGCAGATTCGTGCTGCATTTTCCCTCAGAGGGAAATGCATAAACATAAGACAGTCTGGGCACAGTATTTTTAGATACCCCCGGCGTAAATAATTCATTTTCCAGTCACAGTTGTTGACGTTTTGGCGTCGCCCTGAGTTTCCTTTTCCTCCTTGGGGACTTCTCCCGCTGGGATTACAAGTCACTCTCGATTGGCATTCTAAACTTGAAAGTATCCTATTTTTGGCCTACAAAAATCTTTTCGGTTACCCAAAGCCCATGAACTTTAACTGCTGTTGCAAAATCTCGAACTAGAAATTCCACTTTATAAGACAAAATCCCTCATATTGCCGGGCCAGAGCTTAAGCTGCCCGGGCACTTAAGGGCCACTTTTTTTTTATGGGCGGTCACCCCGCTCCGTCGCCCTACCAAAAAAAATACAATAAATTTTACTCAACTGTGCAGCAATTTCCAGTGAAGTGGAGGAGCATACTCGTATCTCGACATGCTGCGGCAGCAACTCAATTAAGTCTCCATAAAGTATCTGTAGATACGCTAATCAATGATATATATGTATTTTCATATGTAACCCCAAAGCTTCGGAGGTCTTGAGCACTTGAATTTATTAGAGATTTGTTTGGCTTAAAATCTAAGGCAATTAAAATAGCAAATGAATGACTCAAGTGGATGATGTATATAATAACGAAAGAATATAAAATCAAATTGAGCATAAAATCAATGAAAATAAACATGGCTGGGGAGCAAAACAAATCATGAAAATAGTCAGTGTTTCTGCAAAAATAAATCAATGAAATCTTATTTAGTTATATAGATCAATGTAGATACATATTGAATAAAATGACTTAACTTTCCAAAGGACTCTCCTTATAAATGAACATAAAATCCATTCCAATCTGATATTCGCTAATTTAAAATATTACATTTGTTATAAATCACTCGCTAATGCGAAATAAAAATAAAATACAACTTAAAACCTTGAAAAGAGTTTACAGCCACTTAAATATCATTTTCCCAACTGACCAATTAAAAATCCATAAAACGTACCATATAAATCCCAGTAAAAATTTAAATAAAAAGGAAAGCAAATACGTAATGGCCATAAATCTATTTCCAATTACAGTGAAGTGCAGTTGCCAAGAAAAATAACAAATAAACGGCTAAGCGCATCAGTCGTCAATGGATAGGCCAATGTGTTTATGATAAAACTTCAACGAAATTGAAACGTAATCGGGCGAAAGTTTGCTGGCAAAGTGCGTGCATAAAAGAGCAAGGAAATAAAGAGGAGCAGTCGCTTCAAAGGAAGCCAGTTCGACTGTCAGTCAGTCCGTCCGCCAGTCAGTCAGTCATATTGGAGGTGATTTCCCCTTCCTGCATGAGTTCTGTCAACGAAATGACATGCAGCATCTGTCTATGTGGCCATCGGGCCAGGACGTGATGCTGTGCCGCTGTTAGAGAGGAAACCTCGTTGCCCCGATGATGCTATTTTTATGAGGCCCCCAGACTATGACGACGACGGATGCGTGGCCCCATGAAAAATCAATTAACACGCAAAATTATTAAAGACGAAAAACAAAAACGAAAACGAACGAAGCGCGAGTGGTACTTGGGGTTCCGGATCTATAAGTCCCCCAGTTCCCTCTCTTCATCCGATCATCCTTTCCAACAACCGACCAACCATATATCTGGTGTATATAACTTCAAAGCAGCTGCAACGGAATGTCGCGCCTCTGTGGATTAGGATGGCTGGTATTGCTCGCCATATTGCAATTGCAAACTGTCGCAGCCATGAAAGGTAAGTAAAAAAATTTAAAAAAAAAATTTAAGAGTTAACAAGAAGCTGGGACACAGAACGTACAGTTAATTAAATGTTACGACAGTCAGGTAGCCAAAGATACGCGCGCCCCAGAACTTAATACCGCGCATAAACATAAGATTTATCATGGCAAATGATCAACGCACGATTTATGCTCATTACAAATATGGCCAGCCACGAATTGGCCAGAGAGGCAGAAGCAGCTGAAGCCAAATTGCATTTACTTTGGCTGCCATCGAAGCCGACATAAATAAAAGTCAAAATAAAGAGTTGCAAATGGTGCAGTGCCACATACATTTTGGTGTTACTCGCGTGCGCCAAAGAGCAGATACAGTGGGTCAGTTTGGCATAAATCGTGCTTAAAATGGAGTTTTTAGTTTTACTGTAAGAAATATATTCTTCAAATATATTTTAAATATTCCTTAATATTTAATATTCTTCATTTATAAGTATTTATGCATTTACGACTTTTCTGCAATTTAAGAAACCTTCTTTTGCCGTGACTATTCCCACGAATATTCCATGTTGACCTCTTGAACTTTAAAAGATTTATGTCAATCCATTTCTCTGACTAATTTGACCAACTGGTCGCTGTCTTACTTCGGGCTTCCTTCCTGTTGCTATCTATACCCAGAGAAGTGTACGTATAGCTGTACCCATAGTTTGGCATTCGCAACGCTCCATGGTAACCCCGGCCGGCCCATAAAATCCAACTACTTAACTACAATGCGCCGCTGCAGTGCACTTAACGCATTTTTCACGCTTGACATTTGACTTGGGGCGCACTTTTCTCGTTGTCGTCGTCGTTTCTGCTTTTCTGCTGGCTCTTGTTTTTGCTGTTGTTGGGCCAAAGGAAACCCAAAGTATCTCAAACTCGAAGTCAAAGTATTTGTGCGGTGCACCGCAAAAGCTATCCAAAGCCAGGCGTGCTCTTAATTTCGTTGTATCTACAGACACAAAGATATGTACGAAACACATATATATATTTTGGTCTTGGCGCAAATGTATTTTTAATGATATTTTTAGTTGCCATGTGACGTCACTTGGGGGCTAAGAAGCCAAACGTGAATCATCCGCAACAGGCGAAAATTGTTTTTCCCACTTTTTTAGTCTGCTTCATTTGATCTTTTTTGTGCACTCAAATAAATAGTAATTTTTAAATAAATAAATTTAAAAATATTAAAGTTTTTAGATAGCTATAACAAGAATATGGATTTTTTTCATTTATTTTTTATGCCACTTTGTGTGGGCCATTTAAAATATAGATCGATCTTATCTTTTTACTCCATGTCTCTTATTTTCTTTTTGTGTTTTTAAATATATCTTTTTATTTATATGTGAAATGTAAATCATTTACACGCGCAAAGCGTTGTGCCAAATTTAACATAGACGTGTGTGGATACAAATGTATCTGCACGTTGTATCCGTATTTGTATCTGGTTCGCGCCATCTGTCGAGCTGTGTGTCTCCTCTTGATTATTCATTTGAGTTTGCAATATAAATATCAACACATGCTCAATGCTAACTGCAAGCACAGTAAAAAATGGTTGGCTGCATATAAAATTCAACAATTTATTTCGGCGACATTGTATGTTCTCCTTTTTGTATCCCCCTGAGTCATGAGAATATGTGTCTTTATGACTTGTCGATGCCGAGATGCTCAATTGTCGATAGTTGAAGTCTACCCTTCGCAGATATATATAATTGAATTTTATGCGGCCCCAGAGTCTAATTAGGGCGAAGACGACACATGTTTGCCCATTGGAGGCCATAAAACGAGGAAGGCGGCAAGGAAATGCCAACTCAAAGGGGTTCTTCAGTGCGGTTTTTATTTGATTTAGATTGATCTCTTAAGCCATCCGATGGGGCTTTAGAATGTGGCAACGATTGCAAATGGGCGAGAAAACTATTTTAACGACTACTTGGAAGATCACAGGAATTACTGCAAAGATTATGGCCAAAAAAAGGAATTTATGAAGGCTTATCCTTGGAAATTCTGGCATTCTCTAGGAAAAAATATTTCATTCACTGAAATTTAAGTGCGTTCGGGAAATAACTTACCATATTCTATATGTGTGGGAAACTTACTTACTAAAAAACATTTTCAAACAGCACCATTTTAATGTGCAATCTCTTAAAGAGAAATCTATAACACGGCCGACTTTAATACTCCTATCACCTCAATCTCTTAGCCAATAAAGTTGGAATCTCATTCCTCTTCGACTATCAATTTGCCTATTTCCGTCCATAATCAGAACTCGCCGCTCCATAAATATTAACTGCACGTTGCCAACAAAAATCCACTCAAGATCACGTAATAAGCCCACAAATCACAACCACCACTAATAAACTTTGACATTATTAGTGAATCCAAAACTACGGAAAGGAAAAAATAATTTATAAATTGCCAATGTCAGATAAAGTTTTAATGAACAGCGACTTCAACAGCCCACCAAAGGAGCATTAATTAAAGACCCAAAAGAAAAGTGAAAAAAACATGATCATAAAGTCTATGGAAAACCGAATAACTCCAAAGCTATGGAGACATTGGGCGACATATAACTCAAATAAAATAAACATCGGCCATAACATAAATATTCGCTGGCTACCTAGCCAGCTCCACCTCCGTGCTGCATAAAAGATAAACATAAATTCAGCATTTGATGGGGGAGTTGCAGTTGGTGGGGGACGGGAGGCTTTTGGTGGTGCCGAGAGTGGGTGGAGAGGTGCCCAGCATCTGTGGCCATAAGTCTTGCCTCGTGTGCTCGCCTCTGATGTTTTCCCCATTTTTGGACAGACTTTTCCTGATGATGTCTCATTTGTTGCCGGCCGACATTTGAAATGACTTCTGACGCTGATGCTGATGTTCATGTTGATGCTGCTGTTGTGGCTGCTCTCCTCCGGCTGCACCATATTTTGTTGATGCAAATTGCATTTATTGTTAAGCGTCCAACTTCCTGAAAGGCATGTGTTTGCCCTCTGAAAGGGGTGCTTATTTTTACTAAGATTGGCAAGAAGAAAGGCCACTTTTGACAAGGCTTTGTTGTTTGTACTTATGCTGTTAACTCGGAGGACTTCCACTTAATGACAAAATTTAAGTATATATCCCTATGTTTACTTTTCAAAGAAATTATAAGTTGACATATTTCTTATGTCTTAAGATTAAAGAAGGGTAATACGATTTTCGGTTACCAGTCTTATTCCATTTTCCATGTTATTGTTTAACCAACGATAACGCCTCCACATCTTTGTTTGCCTTTGTTTTGGTTTAAGGCACGCGCATCTTGTGAAGATGAAAAAGTAGCATTTCCAACGGCAGCCGAGCATTAATGTAGGTCAAATGGGAATGGGTAGATGGGAAAGTGTTTTTTCTTAGGTTTTCCGCCGCTTTTGACGCCTGATTGCTGCTAATTGGCGTCAAAATGGTCCGGCCAACGCATCAATGGTTGACTATTTGTTGCCCATTTCGCTTTGTTTGCCCGTTTATCCAACTGTCTGCTGTTTGTCTGCCATTCGTATGCAACTGTTTCATGTTTATCCTACGTTTTCTATGTGGGTTAGGTCAATATGTCGTCTTAGCAGCAGCGAAAAACTCGCATAAACAAATAGCTAGCAAACATTTTCCCTTTTGGCCGCAGAGTTGTGAGAGAAATTCTTAAAATATCTCCCGCACAAAGTTGAATTCCATGTTTTGACAAATGTGTATGTTTCCAAAATAATTTATTACACAAACGTACAACAGAGTATGGAAAACCATTAATCATGCGATTTTTACGAGGTGGAATCGAAACCAGAATAAGAAATTTGAAATTATTCTCAGAACGTTCGAAGTTGTTTTGTTTGTGAGGTATGAGCTTTCCCAAGAAAAGCACCTTCGACTCAGGCTCACAACTAATTAAGCAAATCAAGATACAAAAGATGGCTCTCAATAGATAGTCAGATAAATGACTAGCTGACTGACTGAGTGACCTCGACAGACATTGACTGACAGTCTGACAGTCTGACAGCTGATGGCCTGATATCCAACGATCCACCGATCTGGACAAATTTGTATACGGATTGCAATAGAACGCGATTGCCAATCAAATTGGCGGCAGCTCTTGCAACATTATGAGTGCTGGTTAGTGTATCCATATCCACCAGATGCAAGTGCTTTTACATACATACCTTATGTCTTTTAATGGGGTACGTCGATGAAATAGAAAAGAGATGTATAGTCAACAAATATTGCACAAATCTATAAACTTGATAAAAAATAAGTTACGTCGATGAAATAGAAAAGAGATGTATAGTCAACAAATATTGCACAAATCTATAAACTTGATAAAAAATAAGTTTTTCCAAATAAAATTGTAGATTTTGCCTTAAGAGTGGGAACATATAAAGTTATCTGGATACGCCAATATTCATTTTAGTTTGCCAATAATATTTACCGAATCCACCCACAGTTTCGCTCTTCGGCGATGGCTATGTATCGATGCCGCTGCAGGAGGCCAAGATGTCAACGAACATTCGCGTCAAGTTTCGCACCAGGCAGGAGAACGCCTTCCTCTTCGTGGCCGCCGGGCGGACCGACTACTGCCTGCTGCGATTGGAGAACGGTCTGATCAGTTTTAGCTATAAAATCGAACGGGATGTGGTGCAGGTGAGCCATCGATTGAATCTCCTTACATATGAGTGCAATTACAACGATTCCGGTTACAGTTGCGTTCGCCCAAAAAGCAAAAGCTCAACGATTTGGAATGGCACGATGTGGCGGTGCAGCGGTTCGAGAATAATATCACCTTGCAGGTGGACAGCTATATAATGCGCAAACAGCTCCCAGGTGATCTCACCGCCCTCAATATACATTTCGGTACATTTCTTGGAGGCGTTGGGGACTTTTCAGCCGAGTTTTTGAATGATGTTATCGGCTTTCGGGGCTGTATATCAGATGTGAGTATAAAAATATAAAAAAATCGGACTCGGAAATCGTCTTAAATTAGAAAGCTTTATTTAAATGTAAAACATATTAGGTCTTCTATAACAACATCAACATCATTAAGAGGGCCAAAGACCGAACGAGTCACACAACTAGTACGGGGGTCACCTGGACTTGCAGCACTGAGTTCGATGGCTCGATACAGGATAGTATTAGTTTCATGAAGAACGATTCCTACTCACTGATGCTAAAAGAGTCGCATGCCATTGGAGAAACGTGAGTCTCAGGGCAATGAATTTTCAACTCCAACTTTTTAATTTTCTCCCATTTCTCGCAGACTCTCCTTGCAATTTCGCACTATGGCTAGTGCTGGTGTTCTTTTTTTCAACGGCGGCTATGATTTTATAGTCCTCGAAATACTTGATGAGCGCTTGAAGGTGACCTTCAACAAGGCCGGCAGCCTGGTGCAGTTCGTAACAGATGAGCAAGTATCCGATGGTAAATGGCATAAGGTCTTGCTGCGATATAATGCTGCCATTGCGGAGCTAATCCTCGACGATGCCACGAGTGGTTATCGTGGAACTCACGCTAATGAGACCAAGGCGAGCATAAATCTCGAGAAGAGCGTCTTCTTTGGCGGCGTTCAGGAGGAGATGCGCCGCCGGCTCATCGGCAAGGGATTGCGAATAAACGAGATCAGCTTCAAGGGCTGCATGCGCGATATACGGGTCAATGATCTTCCGTTGGGCTTCGCCGAGATGACCATCTCGCGTAGCTTGGCCCTTAACTGCCTGTGGCAGTATCCCTGCATGGAGTACAATCCGTGCCTGAAAAGCGGAATCTGTAGCCAACACGGCGTAGATGGGTTCATCTGCTACTGCGATCAGTCCTACTGCATTAAGGCCGATTTTCAGGGCCCTTTTAAGGTAAGAACGAAATTGGATTTATATTTATATTAATGCAAATGCCCCAAGTAAAAACACAATCTTTAGAGAATTGTTCTTGTATTATCTTCTTAGCTTTCCTTTTACCTTTCTTAAACTTTTCCTTTACAGATCTTCACCGAAACCAGTCCAGAGCTCGAGCTACTCTATGTCTCTCCCATGCAGCTATTAGAAGGTGGCACTTCCTTTCTGTCGCGCCATTTTATAGACATAATACTCGATCTCCGTCGCTATCCCAGCCTCAATGAACAATCCATTATTTTTCATGTGGTCCATCAACCAAAGTATGGACAACTTTTGCAATACTCACCTGAAAATAAGAACTTTGTGCCCTGTCGCACCTTTAATTTGGTGGATTTGGACACAGACAAGCTTAAGTATGTGCACAACGGCCAAGAGAACTTCAACGATCATGCTACGTTAGATATGCAAGTGTTTGGGGATGTACACAAAATACCGGACAATATATTGGGCAAACATAGGTTCCTATTACACGCGAATATAACACCGATTAACGATCCGCCACAATTAAGACTGAATTCGCATAAAATCCTGCGAGTGATTGAGGGAATTGAAAGGGTGTTGGATGTGGATTTATTTAACATTGATGATCCTGATAGCGAACCTGGAAATTTGATCTACACTATATTGCCTCCGCAGAATCCCCAAGAGACCTTTGGTTGCTTTATAGTTGGAGGTGCGACCACATCAACCTTTTCCCAGGCAGATGTGAATGTGGGAAAAGTTTCGTATCTATACAACTCAACAACAACGGAATCTTTTAGCTATCAACTGCAGCTACAAGTATCCGATGGCATCGAGACCAGTGATACGGTATTTCTCCCAGTTTCAGTTCATCCTCTGGAGCTTCGATTGGTCAATAACACGGGGCTTATAATGATCCACAAGAGCTCTTTGCTGCTCAGTCCGGCAAATCTTTCAATTGGAACGAATGCTGTGGATGAGCACATAGACATTAGATACGATATCGTAAAGGCACCGCAGCATGGAGTTCTTCAGCGTCTGAGGCAGATTGATGGTTCCTGGGTGAACGTGGACTGGTTCAGCGATAGCCAGCTGCTCCTCGGCCACATTCGCTATCTGCACAGCAGCGATTTCCCTTGGCAAGACGAATTCAAGGTGTGTATCGTAAAAAAGCAAACAAGAGTTAGGCCATAAATGGGCAGGGAGCCAACACTAAGTTGCATGTTTTGGGTAGTTGTTAGTTTTTGGGACTTACTAACGTGAAACTTCCCTTGCAGTTTACCTATTTCATGGAGATCTATTACTATTCAGTTTTCTTTTTAAAAAATTCGACCTGTTATATACAAACATATAATTTTCCTCCCATCTATACTAAAGTCTTTATAAATTTACCACTCTTTAGTACTTTATTTCGCTTACCATAGACCAATTTCCTTGCTGACCAGTGTAGCCAATAAATTTGCATCGATTTCACTTTCACAGTTTATTGCCTCGTTTGGTTTTGTGACCACGCAAACGTTCGACTTCCGCATCACATTCACGCGCCTGCGCATAACGAGCAACAGACCCTCGCAGATATCGATCAATGGCAACCGGGAGATTCTGCTGACCAGCGATATACTCTCCTACGAGACCACGCCCATCGGCAGCTTTCCGCGCAGCGTGATTTATAAGATAACGAAGCCAACTCGCTACGGGGGCATCTATGTGGAGGGATCCCGGAAGGCGGCCAAACAGTTGGACTCCTTTACCCAACAGGATATAGAGAAGCGAAGAATCCGATACCAAACGCATCACACCAGCTACTCCAGCTTTACTGATAATTTAGAATTTGTGGTTTCCGTTGCGGAATGCGATGATGTGATGGGCACTCTGGAGATTAACTACAGACCCCCCGAGGAGCTAATCAGCAAGCTGGGCTATCAAAACCATGAGGCTCTGCAGGTGCAGGAGGGTGAAAGAGCTCTCATTACCAAGAATCATTTTGGGATTCGCTTCAACATCTATGAGAGTCTGCAGTTTCAGGTTTCCTCGAGTCCAGAACATGGTGTTATATGCAAATACGATGAGCAGACGGGTCTCACAACCCCTGTGGAAATGTTTACTTTGGAACAACTATTCCGAAATGACATATACTACTGTCATGATGATACTGAATCCACCAGGGACACGTTTGAGTTGCTCATCCTCTCGGGCGACGAAACAGATCTTCAGTTTGTCTCCAATATGGAAGTGCACATTAAGCTGGTCAACGATAACGAACCTTATCGCACTGCCATTGAGCGAGTTTTCCATGTGGTGAGGAATGGCATAAGGACCCTAAATCCCACAGTGCTCCAATATCTGGATGCTGATGTTAATACCAACCAAACGGATATCCACTATATCCATGTATCCAGTACCAATGGAGCCTTTTACAAGAGTGGTCACTACATCGACAGCTTCACTCAAGATGATATTTCGAACAGGAGGATTATGTTCCAGCATACTGGTGCGGATTCTGGGAACGGCTTCTTTTATTGTCACTGATCGTGAGCACGAGGTTAATGGTTTGCTAGAAATTCGTGCTTCCGATCCCTTCGTCTCCATGATGGCCACTAATGCCTCCATTGTTCAAGAGGGTAAATTTGTGGTTCTCAAAAACAAGGATTTCATTTTGGAAACCAATTTGGATATGAAACTGGATGAAATCTACTACGAAGTGATTAAACCTCCTTCGTATGGTATACTCATGTACTTGAGTAGGGCAAATGAGGGGGAGAATGGCACCACCATCTATAAGGCCACAAATTATACATCCCTGAGCAATTTCACCCACTTGGATATTGAACGGGAGAGATTGGTTTATTGGAACACGGAAATTGCCTCGATGGATAAAGTTAGGTGAGAAGCCAAAAAATGTTATTCATAATCTTAAATATTAATATTAAATTCCATTCTATTTCGTAGATATCGGGTCCATATCAAGAACATAACAGCTGAAGGAGAGGTGATGTTCCGGATTTATCCTTCTGCCTATTGGGAACCCCTTCAAGTCAAACAGAACCACACACTTTATGTGGAGGAATCCACAAGTGTGCTAATCTCTAGAGATGTCTTAGAGGTAGCCTCAATATCATATACCTCTAATCCTTTAATCTGACTTTTATCTTGTTTTAGGTGGTTCATCCGAATATTTCTCCAGGAGACATTACCTTTTTAGTTACAACTTCCCCCATGCATGGCTATTTGGAAATGCAATCCATGTCCTTCGATGACGAATACAACTGCAAGGTGTTCGATCAGTCTTCCGTGAACACTGAAAAAATGTTCTATATACAAGCAGGAGTCAATCAATCTACGGATTATTTTGTATTTGATGTTACCAATGGCATAACCTGGCTAAGACAACTGATGATAAAAATCGTAATAATACCAGAAAAGCTATATATGCACTCGAATATTATTTCAGTAGTAGAGGGAAAGACTGTGCAACTCAATCCTACGGATATTCAACCCTATTCCGAGTACTATCGGGGAAAGATATTGGAGTACATAGTAACTATTACCCCGAATTCCGGACACATATTAGCTGGGAATTCCAAGGTCAAAAGGTTTACCCAAAAGCAACTTGAACAGGGTAATATACAGTATGTGCATAATGGAAGTGAAAATGCCACCGATACCATAACTTTGGTGGCCATGGCCAGAAACAAGGAGAGTGTTCCCTTCGAGCTGGAGCTCGCTGTGGTTCAAGTGAACGATGAGGAGCCCATGATGGTCACCAATACTGGGACTTCAGGTGTGGAACGGTGGACGCTATGTCATTAAGAATACTGATCTGTGTAAGTTGAAGATTCAAATATCTTATATTAGGTACTTAAACTAATTTTTAAACTTTTAACAGTGGCTCAAGATTATGATACTCCACCGGAAAACCTCACCTTTGTTGTGCACCACATATACGGCGGTTATTTGGCTAGGAAATCAGCGCCCAATCAAAAAATAGAGCAGTTTACCCAGGCTCAAATAAACCTTGAGGAAATATATTTCATGCATGACTCCAACTCCAGAAGAAATGAACTATCATTTGTGGTGACTGATGGATTATTCAACACCACCACTCAGATGCTGAACATTGAGATTAAGCCCATTGAAATTCTGGCCGAGCACAATGAAAATCTGCATGTTTTTCCTTTAACCAAGAAACAAATTCTGCGTGATTACCTTCACTTTAAGTGTTCCGATGAGGAGAGGGAAATACGTTACAACATAACAGTTCCACCAAGTCTGGGACGCATAGTTAACGAGTTTATTGATAATGGTTTCACGAAAGAAGTTAACGAATTTACACAAAACGATGTGGATAATGGTCATATATTCTACGAACACACAGCTGTTATCATGGAATTTAGGACCAATGATTCATTTTACTTCGATGTGGTGGCTGAAAGAAGTGATCGCTTGTTGAATCAGAAGTTCAATATAGAGATATCAGTGTCATCTGGAGGTTTATTGAGATTCCTGCCTGTTAATAAGCTAAACGTCGATGAAGGTGGTTCGGTGCCTATAAAGCTTGATTTTTCAAAGATTTTAGAATATCTCAAAACGAAAGCTGGGATAAATAATCCTGAGTTGTTTATAGAAGCCATTCAAAAACCCACACATGGTAATATAGGTCTGGGTCATGAATTCAAACATATGCAGAGATATCACCCAAGTGACTTCTTTACAAAGAAGGTCTACTACATACATGATCATTCAGATACATTGGAGGATACCCTACTCATGTCGGTTTACCTGACTCAAGGGTGAGTTCTTAAAATATTCAAACAGATTTTGTAATTTGATATATTTTCTTATAATTTTTAGGAACATTTTCCTGTGCAATTTGACAATACCAGTGTCCATCAATCCCATTAACGATCAGCCCTTCCATCTGATCACCCACCTGCCGCAAATGACAGTAGTTGAGGGTGAGAATCGGACTATAACCAGGAATGATTTGCTAACCGAAGATGCGGATACACCACCTGAGGAAATAATATACGATGTGATGAGTGGTCCTACTTTGGGAGTGCTTAAGAAGATCACAAACGATGGACAAACCGAGGATCTTTTGGCTTTCTCGAATCAGTTTACCCAAGCGGATATCAATAACGATCGAATTATATATGTACACTTTGGGATGCCGCAGTCTACGACATTTTGCTTCACTGTATCCGACGGGCAGTCAAATCCTGCCTATGAAATATTCACCATCAAAATAGCATCTATAAGCTTGCAACCTTCAGCGGTACAAATTCCTGTAAGGGTTCAGCAAGGAGCCACAACATCCCCAATGAAACTGGATCATATTGGAGTGACCACCAATGTTCATATGGAAAGGCTGTCATATAACATTACAAACTCGCCACTTTATGGTATTATAGTCTTCAAGCATCAGCCAACTTTGAGGTTCACTCAGCAGCAGTTGGAAACATCACAGATAAGCTATATGCAAACGGATCTTAATCGATCCAATGACACCTTTCAGGTGAGTGCCTATGTTCCGGGCACCAATTACGTAGCCCAAGTGGATGTAGTCATGGAAGTGGAGCCTGTAATACAAATCAACAATATCGAAATGAAGGAAGCTGATCCAGCAGGTGGTAAAATAAGGCTCATCACCTCTTTGGACAACGATAATCCTCTGTCCCTGAAGCTCAACAAATTTAATCCAAAGTTTGTGATCACAAGGATGCCATCGACTGGACAAATCAGAAAGATAATCCGAAGTACAGGTCTCGCAACTGATGGCCAGAATGAAAGATCCACGAACTTATTCTCCTACAAAGAGCTACGAAGTGGTGTCGTCTACTTTGTGCCCCATGAATCTGTTGAGGAAACTGAAGCGGATAATGATAGCTTTGATTACCAACTGCTTATAAAGACAGTACAACCTGCACAGGCCACAGTTTCGATTGAGTATAGAAGTCGGGTTGAAGAGACGGAAACAGTTCACTTGGGAAATGCAGGGTTGTCCATTAACTACCTAGCCATTGGATGTGCCATATTTATAGTGTTGATATGCCTACTCATCGTGCTGTTAATATTGAAAATCAGAAAGCTGAGAAAGCACAAAGCAGATATATCCAAGGATCAGCCGCCGGCGTTGCCCTGTCCACCAGATTTGACATCAGTGAGTCCGCAGCACCACCTGCACCATCATCATAGCCATCATTATGCAAGTTCCGAGGCGGATTCAGTGCCTGCAACAGGAAATTCAACACCATTACCGGGTTTCAGTAATATTCCTCATTGCAAGATCATACCCGTGGAGTCCTATAAGCATGAGTTTCCCGACTACGATCCGGATGAGGAAGAGACGGACGATCAGTGCGATCCGCAGCAGATGATGCTGCCACAGAGATATAATCCCTATCATCTCGAACATGATGCCTGGAGTTCGTCCTGCGATATGCCAAATGATTTTGCTGGCTATGCCTCTGTGCCACAAAGTATTTCCGGATCGGTCAGTTCACCGCCCTCGGCTCCGCCTACAAATCCACTGCTTAAGGCGGAATCAGTATTGGGTCTGAGTTATTTAGCCGGAAATAACTTAACAAAATGGGATCAAAATAATGTTGTTTTCCGATTGGATCGTAATTAGTCCTAGATTATTTATTTAAGTTTAAGATTACGTTTAAGGCTGATTTATGAGATTCGTTAGGAAAAGTGAAGCATTTTATACACGAAAACATTAATTATAGTATGTTAACAAGCATACATACATATCTGGCGTGTCATATACAAACGATTAGAAAATAAGGACGAAAACAAGAGTTATACTCAAAAAGCCAACTTAACTTAGACTTAGAATTGTGTTTGCCAACGTGGAATACTTTTTTACAATAAATGACAATATCTTTAAGAAAATTTGTTGGTTTTATTTTCAAATTCAAATATTTGGCTGGTCGATTACTTTTTATATTCGATAACTAACTACAACGGATGGGACTATGGTGAGTATCGATCGATGGTGAGCGCGCGCACTTTGAATTACAGTTTAAAGTCTGTAAAGAAATAATCCATATAATAATTCTGCTTAAAATTATTTCTTTTATTTATAGCGAAGAACTACAGTTTTTTGCAAACTAAGTTATTAAGATTAATAAAGTTACTATGATATTGAATAAATGTCTAAAAATTACAGTTTGAACATCGTTGTGATGCAGTATTTTTTTTCTTTTAAGGAAAATGTTTTTAATAGATAACCAAAAAGTTGGAAATTATAGCTTTAAATAGCGAGACTGAAAATCTTTCTTTTACCCTTAAGTAAAATTCGAAGTTATGTTACCTTAATTAAGTTGTGTTGTTTTTTACAATTCGTTTTTAATAAGTATTTTGGGCCGAAAAATAAGAGACAGTTAAGACAACACTTAATAGAAACAAATATAGTAACTACGCTTGAAAAGTAAACCTAAAATCAATACATTATTGTGTATATTAAATATCGAAAGAAGACATTTTGCTTAAGAATTAACAAGAATATCACTAGTTTCAATGTGGTGTACATTTTGCTTTCGCTGGACTGATTTAAGTTCAAGAGTTTTTTAAGTACGTATCTTCGCATATGGCATTAGAAAGCGACGGCGACAGTTGCTGTTGAGGGTTTCTCGGAAACCGGCGTTACGACCATTGCCTGATTATCGTATCCATATCCGATCTCAGTCATCACTGTAGTGGGCGTGGTGCTGTTCTCCGCCGGATAGCGTGTGCTTACCGGCGTTGTCATGGTCACAACGGAACCCTCGGCGGCACCTGTAATAAATCATATTTATTATAATATTTACTAGTTTAACATAAAAACCCAGACAGGTAGATCCTTACACTTACCTGCCACACTGTAGATCTGTGATTGCGCCCGCTCAAGGTCACTGCCATGGCGATTGATGGCACTCAGGTTCTGTATGGTAGTGGCATTGAGATCCTTTCCATTGGCATTCGACGGATGAGGATAGGCCTTAGCCTGCAGACGGCGCAACAGCTTCTGGAAGCATCGATTGCTTACCAGCCATCGAAGGCATTGAAACGCACAGCGTACGGCGATCAGGACAAGTAGGATGATCAACAGCAGAAGGATCATATGCTGGGTATTTTGGATGTCCAGCATCTCCGCCTTTAGGGGCTCAAATGTCTTGTAGGCTGTTGGTGGGAAAGTAAAATATATATTAAATTATATAAATCATAATGATATAAAAGCTGTAATGCGGAAAAGATGTTATCTACTCACGATCCGGATATGCCTCTTTTCTCTCTAAAATTCCATTTATAAGCATCAGCTTACTCTATCTCAGTTTTACACTAATAGCTCTGTTTTCTTTGATAAGATTGCAAATTCATAAAAAAATCCCCTCAAATATTAAGATAAACAACATAGCAAAAGTGTTACATCGGAAATTAATATTCGCAGTGCTAATTTTAGCAAAACAATTTAAATATATACTATAGAACCTCAAGATATTTAGCATCTTTTTTTAGCAACTCATGAAAGATGAGTTAATCGCCTGTAACTGCAATTCAATTGAATCCAACTGGAAAAACCTGAACTCACATAAAACTTCCCAAATTACCCACCCTATGGATCGTGAGAGGAGTGAGGTAATCTTTGGGGAATCTTTAGGTTATACTTGCCTGAGCATTCCTTGGCGCACAATATCGCATCATAGTTGTGGGTTTGATTATTGCAGACCGCGAGGCACGGATGACAGCTCTCTGTTGCTAAATAGCAAAATTCATTCACCGGATGACAGATCGTGCCATGGCAATCTTTGCTTTCTCCATTTGCCGCAGCTACCAAGGAAAAACTTGGTATCAATGGAGCTCCGCCAATTGAGAGCGATAAGGCACGCATTTTTCTGACCGACATTTAAGGTATTTGATGTAATATCTAATTATTTCTAAAGTTTAAGTAGGTTGTTTACTGGTCACTTCCGTTATGGCTGAGTGACGTTTACATAAGCACTGGTTAAGCTTGGTTTTCTCCTCGAAAGGTTTTTGTTTTGTTATTTTTAAACGTAAACCAAAGTATGATTCATACACCAATAACGCGGCCCAGACGCTAACTGACTAACTTCTCATTTAATTGTTGGCTTCTGGAGTCTGAGTATTTGTTGTTGCCCTTATATGTAAACACGTGTGTATTGGTGCAAACGAGTTTATCTTGGCCAAGTTTCACAGCATTTTCTTTGATTTTCCTTTTAGTTTTACCGCATTTTCACACGTTTTCCTTCACAGTATCCGGACACTTAATATTCTGAATTTTATATATAACTTTTACAAAAAAGATTAATTTTGATCCGTTTATTTTTATTTTTAAGCGTTGTTGGCCAGCGTTCAGCGAAGCGTTTTGAGCCACATTCAACTCGTTACTGGCTTTAACGTCTCGATCGCTCGCTATTACCAACCACTCAGCACTCACACATCAGCACTAGACTCAAATACACGCACACACATCTGTACCGTGACTTGACTTTTGTTTACCTTTTTTCACGTCGATTGTAGATGCGAAAGTGTCTCTATATCTATGCTGTGGCAGGTAACCCAAGTATTTGTGAGTCTCCGATCGGCTGTTTATTTTCTGTTTTGAGTGAAATACTTCCCGACTCGGAATACTTTGAACCCGGCTTCAGTTGCTTGAATCTCGGCAGCATTTGGACTAATGAAAATAAATAATAAGCGAGGGAGCACAACCCAAACAAATATTCTTTTTAACTTCAATTACTCACTTTCTTAGGGTGACTACTATGCAAGCACATGAACTAATGTGATACGGGATAACAAAGCGAAAATGAGTGCGAAATCATGTTGATAAATCTTGTATGTACGAAAAAATCTTAGAAATTTGATATCACCCCTTTTCCCGTTTGAAGTAGCATTGTAAATTTCTTGATTTCACGTTGTAACAAAAGTCAGTATGTATTATAAACAAAGTATGACATTTTCTTTAATTTTAGTTTATTGGAAATATAGAATTTTATTTTATATTTGGTTTGGTTTTAAATATAAGTATTCCAATGATTTTTTCTAAGTGTTATATATTTCAAAGGGATTTTAACCTCGCTAAGTAGATATTATGGTGTGTGTCTTTACTAAATATGAATAATAGCTAAATAAATATATTTATTCATGTTCTTAAATAAAGTTAAACCGCTTAAATATTATGCATACGTATTTTTTTAATAATATTAAAAATTAATAGTAAATTTATTATTAGTTCGTTAAATTAAGCACTTCTTAAAAATTTAATTTTGAATTCTTTTTCAAACTTGGCAGCACTTTTTCTTCTCAACGTTTCCAGCCCTTCCAAGCGCTCTCACTCTCTTGATGTTGCTCACTCTCGGCACTTATGCTCACTTCCATTGCAGTGCCGCTTTCGAGATACATTTGTATCTGCTTCCAGTTCCAGCGCCGCTTGCAGTGTTATTGTGGCTTCCAGTTTGCTGGACTGGATGGCCAAGTCAAACAACATCCATTCGCTGAGCGGCTTTCGCTGTTGAATGAGCTGTTTTGCTGTTTTCGTGGAACGACGGCCGCCGGTGTGTCGCGTATCTTCAAGATACAAAAATTAAATCGAATCGAAATTGTATATTTGCAGCTGTCGGTTGCGCGCGTGTTGTCGATGGAAATTGTGGCATTATAACAATTATTTCTCGTGTGTGGAAGTGTGAAAGTGAAATAGTAGCACCAAGAGCGACGCAATTTGATGAAAATATAGTTTTGCTCGCGCTCTGTATAACCGTATCTTTGTATCTTTTGTTCGAGCCCGCCTCAACAAGTAAACCAATATAATTAAAAATCACTCGAGTGGAAGGCGCGTCCTTGAGCTCCCAATTTAAACACCTGTTTTGTTAAGAGATACAGATATTCTATTTGCGATTTTAAGCCACCAAAAGAGACAACCAGACCCAGTGTTAGAAGGAGAAGGAAGGCGTAAAGGGATACAGAGAGAGAGAGAGAGATGAATAATTTCACAACCACAACAGCAGCCGCACCACCAAAGGAAGCGCTGCCCCGATCAGGACATGTTAATGAGGGTAAGCATGGGTTAAGAACCAAGCCGAACTGAACCGAACCATTTCAAAATTGGTTGAACATGAACAATTTCGTACGGGGCCTTGGATAATTGGAAATTGATTGGGTTTGAGTGGGGCTATTGAGATGAATGGTTAGGGAAAGAGGCAAGGGCAGGGGCACCACATAGAAGTGATTAATTCGAGGTCTTTTAGAATTCCTCTTCGACGTTTTCTACCCTTAATTTGAACTCTTTTGGTATTGCTTTAAAAAATTCCATCCTTTGCGATAAAAAATTTATTTTCTTTTAGAATTTTTTGTTTTATTTATTTTGTCGCTGAAAAAAGTTATAATCATAAGAAATGTTATATCGCTTTTGGGATCCATTAAGGAGGCTTTTTTTATTTCCTGTAACCCCATTGAAATACCGATCTGATATCTATGAATGCCGACATCAGCCAAAACAAACATTCAAGTTCCCAGAACTTCTCGAGTTTCGTATGTGCCTTTAGGCTTAAATGTAAGCTATTTTTCTGCTGATTCAGATGTAAACAAACTCCATGGGCACGTTTCCCCTTATCATCGCAAACGACTTGACCTTATGTAATAATCAAAACATTTGCATAGGAAAATGTTACAACATGAGAGCTCATTCACCACATTGAATAAGCTCAATTAATTGAAAACCGAATACGAAATGCTGGATGACAAAAAAATGACTGTTGTGCAAAGCTCTCAGTATACTATATCAGGTTTGTTGTTATGCTAATGAAAAGATTGCCCAAAAGAAGAAAAAATAATACACAGAAGACACGAGCTGAAAAAACTTTCTCGACGCTCAGTCACAATCGCAAGAAGTTAGCATTTGCTTTTTTTTGGGGGGGTTTTGAAAGTCTTCATGAGGCGATAAACAAAAACAAAGACCGCCAGTCAGCAGCTGAAGAAACCGCATAGTACAGACCAACGACCGAAAAGCGGACAAAGTTGTGAAGAAGAAATTTCAGTTGAAAAATAAACAAACACCGAGCTCTTATATAGTTTTCTTTTAGAGCAATCGAGGGGAAGCCGAGCGATCCCCGCTGCAGAAAGGGAAAATATACACAGTATTTTTTTCTTTTTGGAGGTGCAAAAAATGATTGCCGCCAGCACTTTCCATTTAATGACTACACAGGGGAAAAAAATCATACTAAAATCCGATTTCTATCTATTTAGAATATATATCTTAAAATAAAGTAATTGATTAGAGATATCATTTTACGATTGCAGTTTTCATTGTTATAGCTTTCAAGTTGTACCCTTTAAACTATAAATCTCATTACTAATCGATTTCGCAGAGATTTTTCGCCAGTGCAGACATGCAAAAAGGCTGGTTCCGAGCATTTGTATCTTAAAGACACAGCGCGTGCAGCAGGCAACAGCTGACGGTTAGCCAAGGGGATTGCAGCCGCTTCATTTGCGCCCAAGCACGCATGACAAAAGACCCCCACAAAGAGTCGGCCCTCGGTTTGAAATAGCCGTGCCTCCAACTGAAACTCACTCAACTGCTGGCCTCTTTTTTTTGCCAGCCATCCAGCCAGCCTGACTGACAAGTGAAGGGGTAACTTTTTAGGTAGGGGGACTAGAATCGGGGGGCGCAGCAGCCCCAGCAATAACAGCAGCAACAGAAACAGCAGCAGTTGCATGACGGGCCGCCTGAATGCAGTTTATTTCGTTCCCCAACATTTTTGTTTCGTGCATGCCAGGAATGATTCACTTGCCAGGCCACGATGACAGGATGTGCGAGTGCCAGGAAAGAGGTCTCCTCCATTTGGATTTGGCTCTTAACATTTCTATGGGGATAGCACTTAAAGGAAACTCAAGCCTCACTCTTCTCTCCCACCTTTTTGTAACGCTTTGTCATGACTTGCGGTGGCCTATAAAACAACTTTTCAAGAAGCCTAAATAATGGAGTTTCCAAGGAGTTGGGCTATCCACCTTTAGTGTTGCTGTTTACAAATGAAGTTCTAGATAAACTGAAAAGTTGTATGCACAAAATTGTACTTCTATTTAGGACACAAATTTAGGTAAGGTAAAGAGTACTTAGGGGTTTGATTGGCACTCTACCTTTATAATTTCTATAGAGGGAAAATGTTATGAGATCTTATGATTTATATAATGATTTATCATTTTAATTTCTAGCTGGTGCCACACAAAATTTGCAAACACTTTAAGAGGAGTTTAAAATTTAATAAACGTTATAATTATCAATTAGCCAAAGGCCAAGCTTGTCATAATAGATTCCATTTAATCATACATAATATAATAATTTATTATGTTATTACTATCTTTAATAAAATCATCAAAAAACTATGAGTCACAATTTTAAAGCTAAGAAGTTAACCAGAAAGAAGAATGTAAATAGTAAATATTTAAACAGAGAGTTTATTAACATTTACAGCTGATACACCGACGTGTCAAAATAAATAAACAAATACATCGAAAAACATAACCATGTACATACAGATTATATAGTAAACTCCGTTCCATTATTTACCATTACCAACGGCCAGTCTAATAAGCTTACTTCCTCTTTTCGAAAAACAGAGAAAGCTTGACTGGCCTAACTCATAAGTATCGTGGCATGAAACAGAAATTAAGCTAATTTTTGGGATTTGCTTTGTTGCCACAACACAACACTCGAATAGACAATTATTGGCCTTTCTGCTTTGGATATGCATAACTTGGCTTATGAGTGCCTGAGAGGCAATTCAATCAATCAACGGAAACCGAAAACGAATCTGAACCCAAAATGTGAGTTCATTTGAATGAAATAAATTCAAGATGTTGCAGCCGGGCTAAGGTCAATGTAAGGCTGGCTAAATATACTGCAGTGTGTATCTGTGTATACACCCGTATCTGTATCTGTCAGATGCAACATTCAAATAGTCGACATTGCGGGCCGCATTTCTCGTCCAGTGGCAGTGGCATGTTCAACAACCTTGAGTCAGGTTTTTCCACTTTCGGCGCCGAGTCTTCGCCGCGGTTGCTGTTGCAGTTGCAGTTGCAGTCGTTTTCAGTCGTCAAGCGTCAACAACATTTTTTCCCGCCTCACACACATATTTTCCTGGATTTCGTTCGGGGGCTCTCTCATAAATTTTCCCGTCAAACTGCTTTCTAATTTTGGCTTTCCACACTTGTTTATAGTTTTTTTGTTGTTGTTTTTATATGCATATGCATAGTTTTATATATTCATTACCATCTCGGGTTGTGTAACTCTTCACGCGATCGCCGGACCATTCATGCGTGCTCAACCATCTGAACTTGGTTTGCCAATCAGGGAGAATGAATCGGAGAAATGGTGGAAAACCAAACTGAAAGTAAGGTGGTGGTGAAGCCCAACAAATGCCAAAAGGCCCAGACGAAAACGCTGTGAACTGTAAATCGACTGGCCAGCAAGGTTAATTGAATGTGCCAGGTAAATTTGCAAAGGTTGCAGTGCAAACAGTTTTGGCCAAATTGCACAGAAACGGCAGCTAAACAATTGTTGCTGTACATAAATAATTAAGTGTCCCATTTAACTGGGTTCGTAGGGAGGGTAAAGAAAACCACTTGGTTGCAATTATATTTAACTTAGGATTACACCCTTTAATGTATTGTATCTTTTGATTATTAAAGGCGTTAAAAACATTAATTTATGCAAATAAAAAGAATTTAAATCAATTGAAAAGAAATAAAATATTTTGCATTTCGTTTTATCTAAAATATTCTTTAGAATTTAAAGTTCAAAAACAAACAAAAGACCCGCATCGAATAGCTTTCATTCAATCTTTGCTCAGCTGGTTTCTTCCAAAAATTCTTCCCCTTCCCGACACCTGCCTCCACCCCCCGTGGAGCGAATTCTTCAGAAACCTTAAGACACATGAATCATGCATCTGTTGACTTACTAACCCGTTCTCGGATCACCGTTTTTTGGTCAAGTCAATAAAATGCTTTTTGCTGACCCACATTGCACCACCCATTGTGGTGTGAATTTTTGGGCCAGCAAAGGTTAACTGTTTTGGTTTTATTTTTTGGTTTTTTGGCAAAAACCCGTTCCAGTGACAGGTAAATATTTCATTCTACCCATATGGACAGACACAAACAGTCAGCTGTCACTAAAGACAGGAAATCGAAAGAATTTCAAATTTGTCGTGTGACTTTAAAGCAACTGGCAAATTCAAATAGCATTGGCCATAATTTCCCTAGGCTTATGTGCATATGTGCTGCACAATTTTTATGACTCGGTCATTTCCTCTCTTTCTTTATAAAAAAGAAACATTATTTAACGGCCACCGTATGGAGTACAGTAAGTCAGTTTTAGCACAGGTTTTCTTTGTTTTTCCTCTATATATGTATACAAATTTTTTTTTTGCTTCTGTATAATTTGTTTTTTTTTCGTATTTTGCCCGTTGCCCGTTGTGCATAATAAAGAGCCGCGCTTGCCCGGGGAATTATAAAGCAAAAGCGCAGAGACGTAAGAATAACAAGAAAATCATATATACACATACTGGCACTTATTCGAGACTTTGTAAGTTATATGCTGAAAGCACAAAATAACAAGAAACTGAGCTGCATTTTGAAAACAACCGAGGACATACCCATTACGAGCTTTAAGTTTAGTGATCTTTTTTTTATACAAAAAGAAATTATTCATTCTTATTAACACCTACATATAAGGTTATTTCAATTTCTATATATATTCACAAAATCAATCTGATCTCCAAACAAAAGTAGATTATTTATAATCTCTATCAAAATAAACCAACAAAAAATAATGAGTATTTTGCCAAGTCAGCGAGATCATATTAAGATGCATGATAGCCCGTGAACATATAATACTACTTTTTTATAAATCATTGCAAACAACTGTCTTGAATTACCACACTCTTCTAGGGTATTAACATGGTGTTGAGTGAGCTGAAGGGGAGTGCTAAAGTAGTTGAGGATGGGGTTTAGAGGCCAGGCGGGGTAAGCAACCTGAGCTGAGCAATCAGGCCGAACCACTTCAGCAGACCGAGCGGGCCAAGAAATGTGCGAGTCTGCAAAAAAATACTTTGTGTTTCAGTTTATGCAGCGGCACAAAATTCTTTTTATTTTACTTTTAGCAACATGCCCGTGCATATATGTATAGAATCCGCTTAGCTATGTACTTAAGAGTATATAGTGTCTATGTGCAGTCAGAAATCAAACAACTAAATTGATTATGTCAGCTAGTGCTATGTTCTGTTCTTCCTTCACCAACTGCAGTTTCATTTCAAATTGCAGTTAATTAACTGAAATCGCCTCTAAATGCATTAGCCGTTCTGAGAGTCCGAGCTGTAATTCATTTTCAACTGAAATGTTCTAATTGCACTCGCCCTGATGGCGTAGAAATCTTGGGTCAGGGTTCAGCTAATTGCCAGTTGACAGTTTCAAGTCAAAGAACCTTTAAATTAGAGTCACTATGGGGAGATCGGAGTGGACCGATAAGGAAATTATGTACGTTATTAGATTAACAGAGAGGAAGAACATAATGGACTTACTAGTGTGGGAAGACAGGGGTCCAAAGCGTTTAATGGTAATGTAAGCGTTGAGAAGTTGAAAATTATATAGTTAAGGTAGTAAAAAGATCTTATCAGAAGCACACATTACCATCAAATTATGAATTTTTTAGCCGTAACTGAAGAAGAAATAATGATTGTAATCACTATGAGATATTATTTGAAAGTCATTATATGAAGAGGGAATCTTTAAAAACTAATTAGTAAAACATTCCCCGTTTTCCAAAAAGAAACTCTGCAGTAATTGTCAATCACAAGATCACTTTCATATCTACCTAGAAACAAACTATCAATCCGATAACAACACGTACTTAAAGATACAACTTTAAGTCTCATCAGGCCAACCACTTTCCCACTTTGCCACTTTTCCACTTTCGAGAGACAGTGACTGAGAGTTAAGGCTCCCCAACTAAATGAAATGATAAATGACAGCAACTCAAACGCAGACCAAAACACCAAAACCAGACTGTTCCAATTGCGTGGATCGGGCATTTATACACTGAGAGAAAATATATGAGTCATTATGAGTCATCTTAATTTGTCAAAATGTTAGAATTTTTATAATCTTTTTAAGATCTTTAATCTCAATGGTATCTCACATTCGTAAAAAATTTATAAATATGTTTTAAGACCATAAAACTTAGTGATTTTTTCCCTCTGTGTAACCATATGAGCACACGACCGAGTTTGAACCACAAAGCAAATAACAAAAACATATAAATAACCCCAAGCGAACCCCAGTCGAAATTCTACACACACAATTAAGAGGAAGTTTATACCACGCTTTCGCTTATCAACGAGCTGAGATCGCTCTATGCTCGGTTAAATCGATCAAAATGCTGCTGCCCCAACTCCTTAAAAAAACATCCCCACTCCAGCTGCATTATTCGAAAGACTGCATCTCGAAGGTGACTCATCGGTTTACCAGAGCATCAAGTGGAGTACATCGATTTTTACGATCTTGCAGGGTTTCATTAGAGATTCGGTCGGTAAACTGACACGTTCAGCATTAAATATCACTTGTTATTAGATACTATAATTAACTGACTTAAAAAAGATGATTCAAGGTACTCACATCTGCGTTTTTTTATTGCTTCCTCATTGCAGTGTGCAAGGAGTGGCTCGTGCGTGAGGATGGTGCTTTGGCCTATAAACTCCAGTCCCAAGAAAGTAAGTACTGGGTGGCGAACTAATGTGTAACCATTAGACTAATGCCTAAAATCATTTCCCTCAGTTAATGACTTTTACAAAGGAAATCGGTATAGAAACGCTGTAGTTCGAGAGGATTTTCCAACTGCCCTGCACGAACAAATCAAGGAGAAGGAGCAGGCCCAGCGAAGAGTGGATGCCTACAGGAGACGCCTAACTGAGCAGTAAGTCAGATCTATAAAACATTTTTATCAACAAAGTAATTTTTAATAAATGGTTAGTCTCTTCATTCTTAGAAAAACATATTAGCACTTTCTTAATTACTTAATTTGTATGCCGTAATTGTTAAAAAGAGTATAACAAATTATAGCTATTGAAAAACAATACTTTTGAAAAGTCATGCAAGCACTCTTCATTACATTTTCAATAGAACTAATCACAATATCTCAACAGGGAGGAGCATGACAAGCGAGTGGCCAAAGAAATTGCTGACAAGCTGGAGCGTGATCTGCAGGAGCAACAGCAAAAGGAGCTGCAACAGAGCGAGTTAATAGCCAAGCAAATGCAGGTGGGTACATTGTGTTTTTTTTTGTGTAATCATATCCCTTGAGTAATTACCTCGATTACAGGAAATCTATGTTAATTTACCGCCTGTGCCACCGCCGGCAACACGAGACAAGAGCCGTCCGCCACCCCGTCCAGCCAAAGCAAGTATACACCTGCAACAACAACAGCAGCAGACTCATCAGACACAGCAGCAACATCAGCCAGAGGCGAGCACCTCACAGCAGGCTAGATATCACAGTCAGCAACAGCAGCAGCCGTTGCAACTGCAGCAGCAACACTTTTCACAAACAGACAACTATGTAGGATTATCGCTTATACCAAATATTGTAGATTTGCCAGCGGCAGCAGCAGCACCGTGCACCGCTCCCAGTAGAAATACACAGGCACACAATCAGCTGTTGGTGAGTGATGTCTTATCATCGCCACAGCAGCAGCAGCAACAACAACAACAACAACATCAGCAACACCAGCAGCAACATCACTCACGTTTTCATCATGCACAACAGCAGCAGCAACAACATCAATCATCATCGCCGGCACGTCGTCCACCAACAAATGCCACCACATCTGCAATAACTAACATGCCCAGCACTTCATCCATAACTCAGCACCCACCCACACACACAGTACCACAGGCACATGCAGTTGACATCGATGAGCTGGTGGACTATGCCGATGTTGCTGACAGCATACGCGACTACAATATCGCTGCCACGAGCACGGCAGCAACATCGGTCAGTGTTGTCGATGCAGCTGCAACATCACTTCAGAAACAACGCTCCCCGTCACATGAAAATCTCCTAAGAACCGAACCGAAATTTCAGAAATTGTCACCCGAGAAATACGATCAGCTTGTGGGCAATTTCGGTTTGGGATCTGGATCGGGATCGGCCAAGGCAGCTGAGAGACACATGCAGCAACATGCCGATGACATCGAACTCTATGTTGATCCCTGTGATTATGCCAGCCTACGAGAGATCGGACTGCCCATGGAAGAGATCCAGGAGATGAGCAAGAAGCTTAAGCAAGAACAGAAAGATGAGGTGACTGCACTTAGTTTATTTAAATTTGAAACCTATGAAAATATGTTGATATGTCATTATAGTTGCTGGCTCGTCGTCTTCAGGCTATTGAGTCCAAGGACTGTGTGCGTCAAGAGCACAGGGATCGCCTGCTGGCCATTGAGGCACAGGACAAGGAACTGGCCAAAATGCTGCAGGACAGGGTAAGGAAGTCAACGTCAAACTAAAAATAAGAATCTTTTACGAAATATTTTTAAGGATAAGAGAGAAGAAGAAAGATTTTCACAATATTAATATAAAAACCATGATTTTTTTATACAAAAAGCCATAGGATACCATAGGATACTAAATGATTTTTTATATTTATAAAAAATTCAAATATTTTTAAAACTTATCTATACAAACCCCCAACATTCCCAAAAACGAAATTTCTGGACTGCTACTCAAAATTTCAGATGAATTCCAAAAATTCCAATTATTTTTGTTATAAATACAACTATTTAGGAATTAAAAAGGTAAATTTTTCAAATCATGTTTTAATGTTTGAATCATTTTAAATTTGGCTTGTTAATGTCTTCTATATTTTTTGCTATTTCCACGTTTGCTGAGATCATAATCGATACATATACATATTTTACCATTTAACATTTGAAATTCAGTTAAAGCAATCAATTATATCATTTTGAGTTTAATTAATACTAAAATACCACATCATTGTGCCTTTTAGGAGAAGGCTAAAGCCAAGAGGGCCAAGGAGAAAGCTCGTTTGCGAAAAACTCAGCAGAAGGAAGCCGCAGAAGCCGCCAATGGAAACGGTAGTCTGCTCTGTGGCACCAATTCCCATTGCGGTCCATTGCTTCAACTGCCCCCGGATTGCCTTTCCAGCTCTGCCAATCATTCACAGGTCGACATCGATGTGGAGGCCTACTCCAATCCCATCGACGTGCTCAAACAATAGTCGTGAACAGAGGCCCCACAATGGACCTTTGACCAATGGCAGCCTGAACAGGGACGGGGGCTCGGGATCCAATCACAGTTCCATGCAAAGACAACAACAGAGAAACACGGCACCCATTAGGGGAGAAGATGACATCTACACACTGCCCGTGGACAGTTGCAGGCCAGGACAAAGGCCTGTTTCATTGCATGTGGCAGATGCAATGCAGCATCTTCAGACCAACAATTCCATGACTAGGTAACTTGAGAAACCATCTTAATTGAAAATTTTCTGGTTACTTTTTAGACAATGGACTATATAAATTTATAAATTAGCAATACTTTTCTTTAGATATTTAATTGTATATTAACTATTATCTTATTTTTATTTCAGATCTGAGCACTATGGATCCGAGGCCGGCTCCCATGACAGCTCGCATCACAGTGGCCAGGACACATCGCCCCACATGAAATTCTCCAAGTCCGGCAATTTCGGTATATATGTATAAAGACATTACCATTGAAATGTATTGCTATATATTGATATATATTCTTATTGCAGATCAAAGTGCCAGCCCCACGCCGCCTTACATGCCAATTCAGGGTACTCGAAGATCAAATTCAAGTGAAGATCGTAAAAAGAAATCCAAGGACAAGTGCACGCATCAGTGAACCATAATCACCCATTCAATACTACGCCTATATATCCATACATATGTTTTCTATTCTCTTGACAATGAAATTGTTCAGATCAAAATCATAACTCTTATCGATTTATTTAAATCTTTCTCATATTGTATCTCTAGAACTTAGTAGTTAGTAGTTTATAGTTAAAATACGTCAAAATCATGTATAAGTTATTGTGTGGTTTCAGCGGTGGTTTTAATAGAAGTCATCTTTGGGATTACAATAAAGGTTTTTTTATAGATAAATGATTTAAGTTGTATTTTTTATCTGGAATAGGGATAAATTTAACACGTTACTTTCCAAATTAGAGCTGCGACTTGGTTCTAAACTTATTCAATTTAATATATTGGAAATCTGATAATTGAACGAAGGACATATTGGTACTTAAGCATTATAGATATATCTAAAAGAGTCGAACAATTCAAAACATTTTAATTTAATCCTAGCATACATTTACAGCAGAGTATAGTTTTTGAAAGAGTTAAAAGTATGTTTAAGAAGCCATCTCGTTTCGATCAATAAACATTAATAGATTTAATTTTTTCGGAACTCCAACTTATAAAAAGTGTCAATCCAATCCAAGAGTTAAATCCCCCGTTTAATCTTATCCGCACATCCAAACCAGCAGAACCGCATATTTCTGTTGAAGAAACTTGAATCTTAGGGTTTGTGACTTTCATTAGTTGTGTGTAAATTTTTACCTTCGGAAGAACTTTTCTGTACTTCCATTTATTGCTGCCCTCCATCAGCTTTTGTTTTTGCCTTTGTTTATTTTTCATTAACATCAGCAAGTTTGCGTCCAATACCGGAGATCAAAACTTGTGAAACTGGTATTAAAAGTCACAAGTTAGGGTCTCAGGGAATCAGCCATACAAACATTTGCACATGTCACTAATGCCAATATTTACATATGCCCGGTTGCATTTACATAACCAAGGCATTCGTAATGAATTCGAAATAAAGTCTGGCTCAGAACACTTTTCTTGATGTCCACAATCGAAATAAAGTGCACCACCAACTTTTGTATGGCTGGGAATGGGTTGTGTTGGCGGTGCAGTTCGATTGGGAGTTTAAATCAATTGCGGCTAATAGTCAAGCAAAGAAAGCTAGCACATTGTATAGTATGATTTGTAGTTACTACTATACAACCTACTACCTCAATTTGCCAGAGAGAAAAAGGTCCTTAGTGTAGTCCTTTTTGCTGGGTGGTTTGGTTTTTAAAGGATTTGTTGGGTAATTTTATTGGTTCGGTTTTTGGTTAAAAAAATGTTGGCAAACAAAAAGAATAATAATGGGGAGAAATCATATTGAAATAAGCTTATAAATAAAATTACGATTATGAATGAGCCTTTTTAGGTAATCATTTGTTTAATTTTTGAAGTTTTTTTGGTTATATGCAATATTATTTATCCGTTTCCGTTTTGAGATCTTTCTTGTTATGTTTACGATTATGAATAGTTTATATTTAGTAGTATTTCGAGTTTATTTCCTATTAGGCACTCTTTAAATTTTAGTTTTTAAAAACTGTAATAATCCTGTAATCCTTTTTTGATCGAGTAACTCAAAAGTTACATTTTATAAATTGTATACTTTTTGGTATTCCAATTAGTATTCAATATTTGTTTATATAATTTTCATATTATTACTTTTATATTTATATTATAATTTTCGATAATCTTTCAGATCCTTACTCCGCCATTATTTAGTGTTTTAAATTTGTCATTCCATTTTGTTGCCAAAACCAGTTGTTTGCATTGACAGACTCCCATAATGCCGGTCTTGTAACAGATATAAAACAGCACAAGTTCGGATTTACGGGTTTCTGTTAATGGTCCATATGTAAGTATGCACCATTTCGTGTTGGATTAGAAATCATTTAGGCGGTCCCTGAAATTGAATTCAGCTTAGAGAAATCAAAAAATCCACCCCATCTGGTTAAAGGGACGCGTTGTTAATCCATTTGATGAAGTTGTGAAATTCCAGAAGGACAATAGTCTCATCATCTGAGTCATCTGTAATTTTTAAGAATATGTTAAATGTTTCCTTTAATTTTCAAATATTATAGTTACGATTGTTTTGGTTTCCACTTTGAGATCAGGTTTACTTCTTACAATCTGCAAGAAAAATTAGATTTATTTTAATAAATATATATATATTTTAGTATAGCATTTAATATGGATAAATTAGAGCATTTTAGCAAATATTAAATTTCCCTTCTTATTACATCAAACTCCTAACTCCTTTTAAATGGAAAAGGATAAATATTGTAAATAATGCCTATTACCACATATTTACGTTTATGAATATTTCCACTTTGGGTCCAAATTCGTTTTGGATTAACTGCACCGAAGTAAGATAAGCAATCCTAGAAATTCTACTAACCTTGGCCAAATCCTTAATCAATTTGCTTTTCTCTTATGAATCTAATAAAAAGCAGTTTTGATTGTTTGTTTCTCTTTGATATCCACATTCACCAGCGATAAACTGCAATGAAAGCTTTGCGAAAGAAACAATTCCACTTGACTTGGCCTAATCCCCGATAGATTTGTCTCTCTGGCCACGTAAGCCGATCGCCCAGTTCGCTGCAGTTCGATTCAATTTGCAACAAAGAAAAGCCAGCGATGGAAAAATTGCATTACATATTCATCTTTTTGCACAAACGGGGAAAATCACCAAAAATAATATAAAAGAGTATAAGGAATAGTTCGACGCGAAGCTAACCATATAAACTAATGGGAGATTGAGAAGGGGTATATATATATATATATATATTTAGAGTATATATATATATATATTATGTATGGATGGATGGATGGATGGTTGGTTGGTTGGGTGAGGAAACGTTGCTGCAGCTGAAGCTCAGAACCGAAACTGAGGCTGAACCTGAAGCTATAGCTATGCCACTATGCTCGGCTGAGCGGCGGCAGAGCGGCGACTGCGGCTGTATCTATCGAGTGTTTTGGCTATATGTGTGTTGTTGTCCCGAGTTCCCAGTTCCCAGTTGCCAGTTCCCTGTTCCATGTTGCAGCTACTAGCATACTACATATGTACTAAGTGGGGGTACCGGGTTCTGGGTTCTCGGTTCTCGGTTCTGGGTACTGCTGATGCGATTCTCTAGCCGTCTTCACCCATTGGCCCTGCCACTTTTCCACATGTTTTCAATGCTTCTTTCGGTGGTAGCAGACAGTCGTCTGGAGCGCAGTTCGTTGGCTGTACCTATTTTCGCGTATTTCAGCCAGGACCTGCCTCAACAAATTCACAGCAGACAGACGCTACACACACACACATACACACACACTAATACCAGCAAGAGGGGCTGCTTTCTGGTTTCCTTCCTATTAAAAACCGGTAACACTTCGTAGCAGCAATGCTAGCAGCAGAGCAGCGCTGCAAATTTTTGCACAATGCTTTTTTTGCAACTCGTTCTTGTTTCTCTTAAGCTCTCTTAACCCTCTCAGTTGCATTCTCTTCTTGTTTACCTTCGTTATTTAATATAACTTTATTTTTATCAACAAATATATCACTCATACGCCAGGTGTGTTACCCATATTTAAATTCATTTAATTTTCATTTGCGTCCAGTCGGCAGGATGCAATCATCTGGAAACTGTTTGCTTTTCCTTCACTTGCTGCTTGTCAAATGGAATTTTTGCCATTAATTTTCATTTATCGCTGGCAGCAGAAAATTAAATTAAAACTGCGAGATTGTCACTGGTAATTTGCCGTGATTGAAAATATTCCAGGGGGTAGATAGTGGGTATTATATTATTTATGGCACATTATCGGAAAGAAGTTATTTATTTTAAGATTTAATCATATAGGATTGAACATAAGAAAAAACATATTTATTGATTTCTAGTTTCAATTTAGGGTCCTATTATTTTGACAATAAATTGTAAATAATTGAATTTTTAAATAAGCTTTCGAGTTAATGATTTAAGTTCTTTAATTTTTTTACCCAAATCGTTGATTGTTTAAAAATCAATTTGTGATATTTGATGATTTCCCCCATTAGTGCCAGCATCATGCATAGCAAAAACCAAGGCCAAAGCTCCTACACACAGACAAAGCCAATGCCACGCACGCACACATGTCCACAGCGAGGAACCTACACACGGCAAACGGGAACCCATATGTGTGGGTGTTGCACAAAATTATGCAATACGTAACACGCTCTTCTAACTCTTTGAGCTCTCTTTGAAGAGAGCCCCTTTGGGGTTTTGTTGATTCTCACTCAATGCCATTGTCATGGGAGTCGAAAGGGAGGCATTTGAAAAGGGGGTGGGGAAAGGAAAGGGGGAGAAGAAGAGTAAAAAGAGTGGAGCATCCAACCAACCAATTCAATTAGACTCTACTGCTTGGCCTTCGCCGTTTCACAACTTTACCCCTCTTTTTGCAACACTCCCCCTGTTGGCTCCCCTTTTTCTTGCCACAGACAACAACAAAATGTGGAGTTGCGCGATGGCAACCCTATATTGCAGATGGGAGAGTCGAGAGTTGCAGAGTTGATTAACCTTTGGGCGTTCTGTTTTGCAACTTCATTCGTGGAGCTGCTCCGATTTAAATGCTGCCCCAAGTGGCATTGGTGTATTGGTGTGCCACGTTTGTTTGTGTGCCTTATGTGCCTCCTTCTGCAGTGTCTGTTGCTCTTCTTTTTTGTACATGTGTGTGTGTGTGTGTGTATGAGTTCTGTTCGCAGCCATGTTAGCAGCCATTTTTAATGGCCATATACGACTATAGGACGGATCCAACAACAAGCAGAGAGAATCCGGAGAACGAACCTCCATCTGCAGTTCAGCTCAGTTTATGCTTCATTCACTCTAAGCCGCCAAACTCCTTCTGGCCCACAACATAAACATTTACACAGAGAGAAAAGGGATTGGTTAAAAAAATTCAACAAAAATTAAACAGCAAAGTCACAAAGTATGCAGCATTTTGCAAAATCATTTTATAGTTTTAAAAGATACTCTTATATAATAATAATAATTTTTCAATCTGAGTTAAGATTCTTAAATTTTTGGAAATCCCTTAAGTAAAACTGTAACTCAAATAGTAAGTGTAAATCTGCCAAATTGTATTTTTTAAATTCTGATTTAAGCAAAATCTCCTTTATCCCCTCTTTGTAAACTTCCTACGTTTCCTTCTTTTCCTTCTTTCTAGCTCGTGTTGGTAATTGTAATTGAAATTTGGTGTTGAAGCGAATAAATGCTCGCTCTCTATGCACACTCCCCCTCTCGCTTCCACGTTCTGCCATCTCACTCGCACCGTGCCCGCACTTTTATTACAGTTGCCGCTTTTTGGCCAAAAGTTGTTTTGGCCTTTCGCTACGCTCTTCCTGTTTGTTGGTGTGGGTCATGGCTGCCGCGTCATGCTACGGTTCCTCTTAACTTTGCTTTTGTTTTTCCCTTTACTTTTTATGTTTCCTTTTGGATTTTTTTTTTCATTTTTGGGTACATTGACTGTTCCTTTTTATGGCCGAGTCTGGGTCTGGGTCTGGCTTTTTTCTGTTTCTGGGCCTGGGACAGCGGCACTTGCCGTGTTTTGACTGGCCTTTTGTCGCTGCTCGGCTGTTGGCTGCAGGCACAAAATTGTGCAATATTTTTGTGGACAATTAAATCATATGGCGGATAACGCGTGTCTCTCAGGGGTTTTGTAATCTTTGAAATTGTTTGGAGTTTCTTAGGTTAAAAAGTTGGTTAGATTTTTCTTTAAATAATAATTTTTTAACATTATAAGATCGATTTCTCATCTGGGTATTGAGTAATCTATCTAATAATGATAACTTTTAACTTATTAACAATTTAGTTTCCAAACGATCGACCGATCCTAAACCGAAAGCCACCATATAAATCTTAATTGATCGATCGATCCCAAGAGTCTTCGTGGCTGCGACCATCTCAACCTGTTCCCTTGACTTCTTTTTGCAGTTTCTACCACGTATCTTCGCCGTCTTGGGCTGTTCTTTGGGCCTGTTGTGACAGCCGGAGAAGAGTATCTTTGGCTGCGATTTGTATCTGCACACTCGTATCTCTTATTGGCTGCTGTTTATTTGCTCGCTGCGTTCGCTTATTGAGTTTGCGTTTGCTTTATGTCTGGGCGCAGGCGAAGGCGTTCAATGAACTCGGAAACTCGGAAACTCAGCGACTAAAAACCCTGAGACAAGACTCTGTAGACAATCGCGGGCAAACTTTTTCCCTTCTTGCAACTTGCTTTCCTTTTGGAGTTTGTCGCGAATTATCCGCTGGATGGTCAATGGATGATTATTGCA